ACATATGAACTTATGTGTACTTTACATATGACCTTATAAGTACAATACATATGACCTTAGAAGCACCATATAAATCCTTATAAGTACCATACATATGACCTTATAATTACCATACATATGACCTTATATGTACCTTACATATGACCTTATAAGTAACATACAAATGTCCTTATAAGTACCATACATATGACCTTATAATTACCATACATATGACCTTATATGTACCCTACATATGACCTTATAAGTAACATACAAATGTCCTTATAAGTACCATACATATGACCTTATATGTACCTTACATATGAACTTATATGTACCTTACCTATGACCTTAAAAGTACCATACATATGACCTTATGTGTACTATACATATGACCTTAAAAGTACCATACATATGATCTTATATATACCATACATGACCTTATAAGCACCATGCATACGACCTTATAAGAACCATACATATAACCTTATAAGTACCATACATATGACCTTATAAGTAGCATACAAATGTTCTTATAAGTACCATACATATGACCTTGTAAGTACCAATCAAATATTCTTATAAGTACCATACATATGACGTTATAAGTACCATACAGATGACCTTATAAGTACCATACATATGACCTCATAATTACCATACATATTATCTTATAAGTACCATACACATGCCCATATAAGTACCATACCCATGCCCATATAAGTACCATACGTATGATCATGTAAGTACCATATATATTCACGTGTAAATAACATACATATGCTTATGTAAGTTCCATAGATATGCCCATATAAGTATCAAACCTATTCCGTTATAAGTACCATACACATGCCTATATAAGCACCATATATATGCCTTTATAAGTACCATACATATGCCTTTATAAGCACCATACATGTGTCATTATAAGTACCAAACATATGCCATTATAAGTAACATACATATGTCATTATAAATACCATGTACATGCCATTATAAGTAACATACATATGTCATTATAAATACCATGTACATGTCTTCATAAGTACCATACATATGCCATTATAAGTACCATACATATGCCATTATAAGTACCATACATATGCCATTATAAATACCATACACATGCCATTATCAGTACCATACATATGTCATTATAAGTACCATCAAGTCTTTATAAGTACCATACATATGCCATTATAAGTACCATACATATGCCATTATAAGTACCATACTCATGCCTTTATAAGTACCAAACGTATTCCATTATAAGTACCATATATATACCCACATAAATATCATTCGAAATAATCTCTAAGTAAATAAAGATTATTAAAATGACTTTATTTTTAATACCCATTTTTATTTAGCTCATTATAATTATTATTACATGTTTTTCAACTCATTTTCCTTAGTAATATGTTGAGAAAACACGATGATAAGTTTGATATTTGAGTTGGCTGTATCTCAGTAAATATGGCTGTTAAAGCCTTAATATTGAAAATTAGTAAAGAAAGACTTAACAGAAAGAAATATAAATTATTGCGGTAAACACAATGGTAACATTTTCAAAACGATTCTATGGCTGGTTTTGATTTTGAGTTTAGAGAAAAATGACGATTTCGCCCGGGCTGGGATTCTTCCCCGTCGACTGGGCTGTTTGGCAGAAAATGGAAGCGGCTGGCTAAAGTGACGTACTGTCCCGTTTTCTGTTTTACGTCCTCTGGTAGGTTAGGAGAGGGCACATTAAAGTCACCGTTTTCTTGACGTTGGGAAACGTTAAGAGGTTACCATACATATGACCTTATATGTACCTTACATATGAACTTATATGTACCTTACATATGAACTTATAAGTACCATACATATGACCTTATATGTACCTTACATATGACCTTATAAGTTCCGTACATATGACCTTATAAGTACCTTACATATGACCTTATAAGTACAATGCATATGACTTAATAAGTACAATACATATGACCTTATAAGTACCTTACAAATGACCTTATAAGTTCAATACATATGATCTTATAAGTACAATACATATGACCTTATAAGTATCATACATATGACCTTATAAGTATCATACAAATGTCCATATAAGTACCATACATATCACCTTATAAGTACCATACATATGACCTTATAAGTACCATGTATATGACTTTATAAGTACAATACATATGACCTTATAAGTACCTTACATATGACCTTATAAGTACAATACATATGACCTTATAAGTACCTTACATATGACCTTATAAGTACAATACATATGACCTTATAAGTACCATACATATGACCTTATAAGTTCCATGCAAATGACCTTATAAGTACAATACATATGATCTTATAAGTACCATACATATGACCTTATATGTACCTTACATATGAACTTATATGTACTTTACATATGTCCTTATAAGTACAATACATATGACCTTATAAGTACCATACATATGACCTTATATGTACCCTACATATGACCTTATAAGTAACATACAAATGTCCTTATAAGTACCATACATATGACCTTATATGTACCTTACATAAGAACTTATATGTACCTTACATATGACCTTAAAAGTACCATACATATGACCTTATGTGTACTATACATATGACCTTAAAAGTACCATACATATGACCTTATATATACCATACATGACCTTATAAGTACTATACATATGACCTTATAAGAACCATACATATGATCTAATATGCACCATACGTATTGATTATAATTACCATACATATGCCTTTATAAGTACCATACATATACCTTTATAAGTACCATACATATGCCTTCATAAGGAACATTCATATGCAATTATAAGTATTATACATATGCCTTTATAAGTACCATACGTATGCCATTATAAGTACCATACATATACCTTTATAATTAACATACGTATGTCATTATAAGTACCATACATATGACTTTATAATTACCATACATACGCCTTTATAAGTAACATTCATATGCAATTATAAGTATTATGCATATGCCATTATAAGTGTCATAGGTATGCAGTTATATGTACCATACACATGCCATTATAAGTACCATAAATATGCAATTATAAGTACCATACAAATGTCATTAAAAGTACCATACATATGCCTTTATATTTACCATATGTATACCTTTATAAGTACCACTCATATGCAATTATAAGTACCTTACATATGTTAGTATAAGTGCCATAGGTATGCTATTTTAAGTACCCTATACCTATCCTTTTGGGTGGTAGTGGACCCTATACACATTTTCAGACTTGGAATCTATCCTGTTTGCAGTAGTATACCCTATAGACATTCCAAAGTCATATCGTTTTCTGTGGAGGTTCCAACAATTCATTTTCTTTTATTTTCGCTTCAGATTATCAAAGCCACCACTATTGTAAATAATATTGTTCAGCAAAAGCATTATTATTATATGCATTAATTTATGAGTGCTTATTATAATTTACTGAGAAGCACCAAGATTTCTCCTAAGTGCTAACCTCTAACAGGATGCACTGTAGGATAGTGGTTTAATTCTTGGGTTGAAACATTAGTTGACACAAAATGGAGACTTTGCTGACAACTTCACTACAACCTTAATTATTAAGGCTTAAAATCATCCAAAATACTAAAATAAGGAGCCATAGGTGGTAGCTATGTACACAATAGGTGAACTATAGAGCCTTATTAATAATTTTAGCAATAATAATTATTATTAATTATTTAACTTTGCCTAAAGTCAACTAGAATTTCTTTATTTTCACGGTTTATTGCTGCCCCCAGGTTGCTCAGAGGCAATCAGAGATGGTAATCAATTTCCTCCTTACGAGGAAATAATTTAGATAAATTTGGAGCATTCTTGTGCTCATTTGCACAAGGTCTCCGTGCCGTCTGTAACGTACGATTATGTTACGTTGTTGGGTAGATTAGATACACCGTGTTTAGAAAGTTTCGTATCTATTTAGTAGTCTTAATTACAGTAGTCGGTTGTTGGCATTGCCGTAGACGTTCAGACGGAGCTTGGAGCAGAGCAGAGCTGAGTGAGGCCGGAGTCGTGGAGCTCTATGCGGGAGAGCGTGGCGGCTCGATGGGGAATCGTGAGTGTGTAAACTCCATGGGGAGCGAGAGCATTAGCGACGGTCTCGCTTCATGCAGGTCGACGATCAATCCCCGACCGTCCAAGTGGTTGGGTACCATTCCTTACCCCCGTCCCATCCCAAATCCTTATCCTGACCCCCTTCCAAGTGCTATATAGTCGTAATGGCTTGGCGCTTTCTTCTGATAGTTCCCTTTCCTACTGGTCGACCTTGTGGAAGTCCCCTGTGTGGTATGGGAGGGAGGTAGTGAGACGTGCGTCAGGGGCTGTGATGGGGTCCAGGCCATTGGCTATGTACAGCACATTCAGTTCCCTGATGAATCGGTGGTGGTCCGGCAAGCCTCTCCGCCAGTCGTATGAGGCCAGGGATAATGCCTGCACATGATGCAAGGGGCGGCGAGGGGTGCTGGTTGTTAGGTTAAGGTTAAGGGGTGCTGGTTGTTAGGTTAAGGTTAAGGGGTGCTGGTTGTTAGGTTAAGGTTAAGGGGTGCTGGTTGTTAGGTTAAGGTTAAGGGGTGCTGGTTGTTAGGTTAAGGTTAAGGGGTGCTGGTTGTTAGGTTAAGGTTAAGGGGTGCTGGTTGTTAGGTTAAGGTTAAGGGGTGCTGGTTGTTAGGTTAAGGTTAAGGGGTGCTGGTTGTTAGGTTAAGGTTAAGGGGGTGCTGGTTGTTTAGTTAAGGACCTGCCCGAAACGCTGCGCGTACTAGTGGCTTTACAAGATTGTAAATACTGTGCTGTGTATTCTCTCGAACCCGATGTACCTTCCTGTATATAAATAAATGTGGTCGAGTCCCTCAACTGTGATTGCTGGAACGCCTCCAGCGGCGTGCACTCTTCCTACACTTGCTTCACTCTTTAAAATAAATCATAACATTACCATTCACCGGCTCCACTTAAACTATTCCAACATCTATTAGTCATGTCTATACCACTGAAATATTTTATTTTACACGTCAAGAATTGATATTGAAACTTGATAATAAAAATGTATTCGGAATGAATGAAAAAGCGTCAACATCAATCCATTTAGTCAGTGTAAAACTTGACGAGATTGAGGAGAGTTGTGTGTCTTCTCCCGTCCTGCTTCCCTTACACTTGTCTGTAAGTTAACCGTGAATTTATATGTTAATGGTTCGTTTGCTGTTGTTGAAGGGCAGGGAGCCTGTTAGGCCAACTGCTGTTCTTCCCCAGGAAGTTGTCACACTCCCGGGGACCTGTTTTTAATTACTTTGTCGCCCAAAGATCATATTCACTCCAAATATCTACCACCTATGTGCTATCACTCCAGACATCTATCACCTATGTACTTTCACTCCAAACATCTATCACCTATGTACTTTCACTCCAAACATCTATCACCTATGTACTTTCACTCCAAACATCTATCACCTATGTACTTTCACTCCAAACATCTATCACCTATGTACTTTCACTCCAAACATCTATCACCTATGTACTTTCACTCCAAACATCTATCACCTATGTGCTTTCACTCCATACATCTACCATCTATGTGCTTTCACTCCATACATCTACCATCTATGTGCTTTCACTCCATACATCTACCATCTATGTGCTTTCACTCCATACATCTACCATCTATGTGCTTTCACTCCAAACATCTACCACCTATGTGCTTTCACTCCAAACATCTACCACCTATGTGCTTTCACTCCAAACATCTACCACCTATGTACTTTCACTCCAAACATCTACCACCTATGTGCTTTCACTCCAAACATCTACCACCTATGTGCTTTCACTCCAAACATCTACCACCTACTGCCTTTCACTCCAAACATCTACCATCTATGGGTTATTCACTCCTTATCTACTGCCTATCTACCACCTATGGTCATATTCCGTAACAATTCATTGTTCATTAATTACTCCATAAAGGCGTTGACTGTCCAGTAGTGAATGAGTACTCCAGTAAACTTTGTTGCTCTTCACATAATACATCACAGTAGTACTGTACAACATAGTAATTTTTCTTTCAGTATAGTTTTTATAGAATGTTTTTGTATGTTTTGAATGTTTTGTTCCTGCCCGAAACGCTTTGCGTAATAGCGGCTTTAGGCAATGTATGTACTAGCTCTATCTATAAATTCATCAATATTTGTATCACCCCTTGTATGTATGTATGTACTTTACCTGAATAAACATTTGAATTTGAATTTGAATTTTGAAAACTTGGGCAAGAACAAGCATTAGTGGTTATGGTTAATTCTATGTCAGTGTGCTTTTTGACCACACATGAAGATCATTCCCTGTCTTCCTTAATCTGTATTTTGATCTGCCCTGTGATATACATATTCTTAAGTAATATGCATATTCTTAAACATCTAACTGATGATATTTATAGGGTGAATGATACTCTTGCAACAAGCCGTCATTCTACCGGTTAATTATATAATAGCTTCAACAACAGGAAATTACCTTCAATATGAGGATGAATGCCCAGCACACATCTTAATTATTTTCTTGACTCACATGTACAATATTCATATTTATTACTGTGCTTGTCTTTAGTAATATTCTCTTTCTGGTTTATTTAAAAGATGTATGTGGTGTTTATTGTATCTTCTCTTTTGGTAAATTTTATATGTATGTTATTCATTTATTGGCTGAAAATATCACCTGTGTTTGACAATTCAAAATTTAACTTTGGTCTTACTATTTTTCAGATTTCTTAGCGACTGCTTAAAGAACTGGCACATGCAGACATCATGGCTAATAAGAAGAGCAGACAAATGGTGGGTTTGATGCTGTAATGTTAGCTACTTCTTTCAAGTGTTAGCTACTGTATTAGGATGTAACAAGCACACAGTATGGTAGTTTCAGATGTATATTTGATATAACTTGGTTACAGAGGTTGGTGGTGTGTTGTGAAAGGTTGAGCCGTAGTGTGCTACTGTCGAATGCTGGTAGTGGTAGAGATGGCAGCGTCTAGTTAGGCGGCTCATTGTACAGTATAACTGAAATGTTTCTTAACCACCTATGGAGTGAAACTGGTTGCTGCTGTGATTTGGCGGCCTTATATTCCGGTCCACATGATGCTGTTTCTAGCTCCAGGCTGCTTGTAATTTGGTTGATGGGGAAACTGCTTGGTTTCTGTTGGAGGCTGTTATATTAGTTTCTGGAATGCCTGGGGAGATGTTGCATTGGTATGTGAGGTTGCCGCAGATTACCATTAGTAGCACGTAGAATTTCTTGGGAACATGTACTGTATTGATGTAATTAGTGCATGTGGGATTATTGTGAACTTTAAATGCCATAGAATTTCTAGGAAAGGTAGGTAGCTGCCACATTATTGCTAATGTGGCAACAACAATACCAATTTAGCAAAAAAAATGTGTAACAATTACAGCTAATGAATTCACAGAATGAGCAGACAGGGTTTAGTTGTTGGTAGCCAACTAAGGAGCCGAGCGGACAGCACGCTGGACTTGTGATCCTGTGGTCCTGGGTTCGATCTCAGGCGCCGGCGAGAAACAATGGGCAGAGTTTCTTTCACCCTATGCCCCTGTTACCTAGCAGTAAAATAGGTACCTGGTTGTTAGTCAGCTGTCACGGGCTGCTTCCTGGGGGTGGAGGCCTGGTCGAGGACCGGGCCGCGGGGACACTAAAAAGTCCCGAAATCATCTCAAGATAACCTCAAGATAGCATAAATGCACTTTCTTCTGTCCTCCATGGACAGGGTTAGAGATTTGTTAGTCATTGTTAGTCATAGTCATAGCCATGCACTCTTGCTTCTAGTTAGCCTTCTTCCTTGAACTACAGCTATGAGTAAAATACTTGGATACGAGTTTTGGGGAATTTTTCAATTTGTATTTTTAGAACCATTGTGTTAGACATCTAGTTAAGCTTTGATGATGATTGGCGTGACTTTAAATGATGCAGAATGCATGGATACCTTAAATTCCGGAACCCTGATGATCATCTTGTGTCTCCCTTACATGTTGCTTTGTGGGTCCAGAGCTTGTTTCACCCTTCAATATGTGACATTTGTTGTTTATTTTAACATAGTTTGTGTTCATCTACTGTTTAAAAAATCTTCCATGCTGTTGTAATATAACCTGTTGATGGTTGGACCAAGCCATCAGTATTTACATAATGCTCATGTGACTTTAAATTACTTACAGAAGATTTAAAATTGTCGGTTATCACTGCTTTAAGTGCCGCTAGGTTTTCATTACTCTTTTTGTTAGTGGTACAGTATATACTGTATACTTACATGGCAGGGTTCAGATAGTGGGATATTGTTAATAAGCACATTGCACATGATCCACGTATCATGTCCTAGGGAAAGTAGTGTAACACATAATCATCTTATTGGGTTCAATACCTACCATGAGGCTATAAATCCCAATATTGAATAGTGAAAAACACCCTGTATTCCTTTTTGTTCATTGTACTGTCTCTGCAGCTAATAGTACTTGAAATGTTTCCCAACACAGATTACAGGAGTTAAATGCAATATATCTTTTTTTCAGTGTCTTAATTCTTTTAACTTTACAGATCTCTTCCTGGGTCACTCCCACTTTTGATGACTTTGATTTGAATTCCTCTCCTCCCACTGAAAAAAAGGCACGAAAACGTCATAGAGAACCAAATGCTCTTTCTCGCCTCGGGAAAAAAACACATCAGGTATGAAGTTTGAGCCTTTTTATTTGGAGTTTGTATAAAAGCAAATATTTTAAATATTTCTTAATATATAATACAGTATACTACTAATATATTAAAAAAATAGTGAATACTGTAGCTTAGGCTAATTCTCAAATTCCAGAACAGTAATTTTTTCTAGGTGATTTGGGTATAAAAATATGCACTAAACCCTTTTTCTATCATTTGTAGCCGGTACTAGTAAAACTGTAATTGTCACAAAAAGTATATATGATTAGTTGCAATCGAAGGTGGTTTACAACCAATATATTCCATTATATTTGTAATCAGTTGTGAGAGTTAGTGAGTATGAACTGAGAAGCAAGCCAGAGTTGAAAAAGTGAGCACGCAGTGTATGTGCATGTGTATGTGTGTTAAATAAAAATAGTGTACAATAAATTATTTGTCAGTAAATGAAAATGGTGTTGTGTCAAAAACATGCTATTTGGGTACATGTTGTATAAGGATCCATTGTATCACTTGCTGAGGGGTGTTAGTCTTGATGTAACATGGTCAGTGGGTGGTGGCTTGAGTTCCTTGTCATGGAGAACAAAGTCAATGAGACCCTAGAGAACAATTCAGTCTGTGTGGGGGATCACAATGGGAGCGTGTGAGGTTCAGGAAGCATTGAGATACTGGCTCAAAAAGATATTTTATTACTCTCTACATCAATTTTTTTCCGTGGCGGATGAGGTGGAGGGGGTGAGGAGCAATGTTGTCCCTGTAACTATTCATTGGATATCTTGGTTAAAGTTGAACATGTCTTTTTTTTGTCACTAAGATAAACTATGTATTGTGGAATATTATTTCGTATCTGCAGGCGATGAGTCACAATAACATGGCTAAAGTATGTTGACCAGACGACACACTAGAAGGTGACACTTACGGGCTATTCATGCCCGTGCCACCTCTTGGGTGGCTTAATCTTTATCAATCAATCATCAATTCCTCATCACAATGGACTTGAGAATGGTCTAGGATGGACCGAAACGTCATCGACCCTTCACCTTCTAGTGTGTCATCTGGTCAACTTATTCCGTATCTGTTGCAGGGAGGGACAGTCTTGTGGGTTGATTTGTATGCCCCTATGACCCGGGAGGACTTGTCTGTACACAAGAAGAAAGTGCAAGAAGTAGAGTCGTGGCTGGTAGAAAGCATGGCTGGTATGAAGGTAAGATTTGCCAGAAAATTGTATATGGAAAGTCATTTTCCACCGGAAAGTTTTTTCCTGGGAAATATGGGTCAAGAAATTTTGTATTGATATTTCACCTGTTTCTTCAGAATTGGCTACAATACATAGTTTAAATTTTAGTAGTAGAGTAATTGAAAGGTAAGGGTGAGGCTGTCTGAGCTTGGGAATTAACCTATATATTTTATTTGCAAGTGTGATAAATTTCAGAAATTTTTGGGGGAATTTAGTTTTATGCAAAGCTTTATGAAATACTATACAGTACTGTAATTTTATTTTACTGATGGTTGTTAATTACCAATACTGGCAACTTTACCTTATATAGGGCTTAGTACATGGGTTTTTGTTTTGTTTTTAATAAGTGCATCATTTTGCTTTAAATAAAAATGCCACTCCACTTTTGTCTAAAAGAATCTAAAAATACATATTTACACTACTGTATTCACTATGATAGTTAAAATTTTTTGGAAAATCCCAGCTTGCCATTTTTATCTAAAATATAAATTGAACTACTGTAAATCACTCGATATAATTCCCTATTCTAGTGGCTTTACCTTATGCTACTTCAGTTTGGCATTTGTAGGGTAGGAGGTTCCTGTTGCTGACAGGCCCGGCTGGCTGCGGGAAGTCTGCCACAGTGAGGGTGTTGGCCAAGGAGGCAGGGTTGAATTTTGTGGAGTGGATCAACCCAACAACTGCTAATAATTCATCATTCCTGGACCAAGGTGGGTCAGTGAAGGTTTTCAACACACTAACACTGATAATTTGTGTGTATAGTTCCGTAAAAGTGAATTGAATATCTGTTTATACTGTGTGTCTGGAGTCTTTATTTTGGTATATAAAAAGTAAATATACTTTCCTCTTGTATACACATTAAATGAGGACTGAAAATTTGCAACATGCAAGCTTTTGTTAGCTCATATGTTTATCTATATTACAATGTTGCATTGTAACACAGAATTCCTTAAATGCCTCCCAACTCAATGAAAATGGGAAGCAAAGTGGTGATATTGATGATAGTATGGAAAGTTTCTCTTTAATCGTTATGCATCTGCTTCTAGAAAACACGTGGATCCCTGGAGACAGTGTGAGATCAGCCAGTCAGACGTCACTCTTTTGGGACTTCCTTATCCGTGCGAGCAAATACAACAGTGTGTGTGGAACAGGAAAGGAGAAGAACCTGGTCTGTGTCGAGGATTTTCCTAATACCTTCTTAAGAGATGCATCGTTGCTCCAAACAATGCTTAGGTATGCAAGCTGTTTCTTTCGTTCTTATTTATATATTTTTAATGAACCTACATAATTTTACTAATGTTAATGTCATGCCAACTTCTACATAGTTGTTGGGATATATATAGCCATAAAATTATTGGCATATCTCATTCTTTATTAGTTATCAGAAAATACAAAAATCAGTGAGAGAGAGCCATCTTACTATTATAATTCAGCACAAATAGTGTCCAAAAGGGCAAAAACTTAATATTGAATTTGTGAAGCCAAATACTTTGGCTGGTGTTCTTTCAGTATTTTATTCTGATAATAAAACTGGCTTTTACATCCACCCGTATGTGTGTGCCAAATAATCTTCGATAAAACATGTACTTCCACCCATAAAATATGTTGTCAAACTCTTGTGTGCTTAAGATAAGTAGTACATGATTCCCCATACTACAGTAGTAGTAGTAGTAGCAGTATTTCCCGTACTACAGCAGTAGTAGCAGTATTATTCCTCATACTACAGTAGTAGTAGTATTCCCCGTACTACAGTAGTAGTAGTAGTGGTGGTATTCCCTGTACTACAATAGTAGTTTTTTTTATTATTACCTGTATTATTATTTTCTACCATAGACGTGGCCACACATTTACAATGCTAACCAGCATATATACATTTTCTTCTGTCCTCCATGGACAGGGTTAGAGATCTGTTAAACATATAGTTCAGGGGTTTATTGAACAATCAACCACATAAGGTGATTCGGTGCTTTTTAACACTTTCGCGCTCCGTGGAAACTCGCGGTTGACAGGGGGATCGTGGCCCCTCCGTGCGGGTAAGCGCGCGGTGACACTCAAATGTGTATACTCGTTCCAGTTTTCTCACCTTAATTCTCGCGCTACGTCGCTCATTCTGGTATCATTGTGTTCGCAATTAAATTCTCTACAGGTGTGTATAAATATAATGTCCAAAAGCCTAGCGTGACTCCCAACAGCAAAGCGTAAAGTCGGCAAAAACGCACAAAATCAGTAACATGTGCATTCTCGTTCCATTTTTTTACCTTAATTCTCGTGCTACGTCGCTCATTTTGGTATCATTGTGTTCGCAATTAAATTCCCTACAGATGTGTATGAATAAAATGTACAAAAGGCTGGAGTGCCTCCCCGCAGAAAAGCCTAAAGTTACCCATGAACGAGCACCATTTTGTACATTGCAACCTAATGTTCAACTCGTTCAATTTGATAACATCAAATTTCGTGCTACGTCACTCGTTTTGGTATCAAATTGTTCGCAATAAAAAGGCGATTATTTTAAAACTAGTCCCAGAATAATAGAGCAATAACTGGATTTTTAACAAATATTTTAATTCTGGACGCTCATCATCACAAATTTATTTATATCTTTCCAGTGTTCTGACATAAATATTTGTGTTACATCTTTCGTTTTGGTATCAAATTGTTCGCAATAAAAAGGCGCACATTTTAAAACAAGTCCCAAGATAATAGGACAATAAATAGAATTTTAACAAATATTTTAATATTCAGACCATAGACCTATTTATAATATTTCAAGTGTTTGGACATCAAGTTTCATGTTATATCTTTGATTTTGGTATCAAATTGTGTGCAATCTAAAGGCGCTTATTTTAAAACCACTACCAGATTGATCTGATAAAATTTAAATTTTTAAAAAATATTGTAATGAGTGACTCAGTATTGCGTCGTTGGAACACATTCAGTAGAAAAATGAGTGACGAATTATTCAGTCTGTGGAACGCGAAAGTGTTAAAATGCTAAGCTAACCTACATACGTAAATACATAGATACACAGATTTACGTATGTCCTACGTAAAGTGTTCGAAGTGTCATTAATGTGCATTTACAAAGGTGAAATGCAATTTTGATCAGCTTCCATTTGTACTTTATACACATATATATGCATACAAGCACATATATACCTACATATGCATATATACACACACATGCATTCACATACATTTGTCTCTTTTACTCTGACAGGGTGAGATAGCTGACAGAGAAACTAGTGTGCAATTAAGCACTTAATCACTGAAGGTGATTAAGGTGCTTTTACAAGCTCTGGTTATATAGTTACATCACATACATACATTGTATAATTGATACATTACATGGTCAATCTTGGGTACAAGTCCAATATATCAAGTGTTCCAGTACTCATATATTAATTACAGAGTTCAGCATACCTTAGCCCAGGAGGGGCAAAAGTCATTTAATATAGGACATTCTACAATATAATGTTCAAGAGAGTGCATGTTTTCTCTTTCACAAAGTTGACACATTGTGTACTCGACATTTGGGTTTTGAGAAAACTGCCAGATATGTCTATATCCAGGCATATTCTGGCCACTATAACATCACATTGCCGGGTTCTTGTTCTGTTAGTCCCATATGTGAATGTCTCCTCACGATATCTATCATAATATTTAATGCTACAACTTTCAGGTCTTTGTGAATTTGTTAGGTTGACGAGATTTTCATTAGATATTTGTTTAAGTATTCTCTTTGTCACTGCTAATGAAACACCCATATCAATTTCTACCACTGGTTTTCTACAGGCTGTCTTTGCTAGGCTACTGTCGCCCTTACAGTAGTAGTGGTGGTGGTGGTATTCCCCGTACTACAGTAGTAGTAGTAGTGGTGGCATTCCACGTACTACGGTAGTAGTAGTGGTGGTGGCATTCCGCGTACTACGGTAGTAGTAGTGGTGGTGGCATTCCACATACTACGGTAGTAGTAGTGGTGGTGGCATTCCACGTACTACGGTAGTAGTAGTGGTGGTGGCATTCCACGTACTACGGTAGTAGTAGTGGTGGTGGCATTCCGCGTACTACGGTAGTAGTAGTAGTAGTAGTACAGCAGTCCCCGTGGCATAGTGTCCACAAAATGCTGCGTGTGCTGTACAAGAATGTAAGAACTCTTGTACTGTATATATAAATAAATAAAACATGGCGAGAAACCACAAAAAGAGATACTGCTGACAGTGTTAATTACTGTATATGCTCATCTGTAAGTTGAAAATAGTGAAAAGATCTCCACTGTAATCAATTCCATATTTAGTTTAGTTAATTTGTTATGCACCTTGATAATGTATTATTGTCCTCGTAAACAAATGGATGGACAACATTATATTTTACAAATTACATTATCAAAAATATTTAACAAAAATATTCACAAAATGCCCAAAACTCAATCTATTATTGCATCACATGTTATTGCTGCTCATTCATGCTTAAAGGCTTCTAGTGCTAATTCCAAATACAATTAGTGGTAAAATATGTTAAACCTAAATAAAACACTCGTACGGCAAATTATTATGTGTACAGCACTGTACTAATATTATCACAAGTACTGAAAATGTACACAAAATTGACAAAACTGATGTGAAAGTGTGCCTAAGCAAAGACCATTCTGCAGATAGCTAGTTATTTAGTGACTTGGCATTTACAAACACTTTTCAGTGGGAGGCTTGAGTGTTATAAACGTATTTCTTAGTTTTCATGCTGTTCGTCTTCGTGGTGGGTTGACCTCTGAGTGTCACAAACTCCAAGTCACATGTATGGGACATTACTGCTGAAAATGGTGCCTCTCCCCAGTGTTCCGAGATTTCCGCTGGGAGCCTGGTATATTCAGTGTTTTATTTGTGCTAGTTATATAAACCGAGGGAGCTGCCAAGTTACAGCCCATAAAGGGCATTTCATAACACTCGGTACTCTATTTTATACAGTACTGTATATATACATTCACTAATGTAATCAGTTTCACAGACAAAATTTGAATTTTGTTTGGGGTCTCCTAAATGCTTGGTGTTGGCACAAACCCATAAAAGACTTTTGTTGACTTAGCTGGTAAGCCCAAAGTGATGCATGTTATGTTGCAAAATCCAATGTTTGAGAAATATGTCTAAGTTCTCAATTACAGTATTTAATTACAATGTATGATAAATGTTTTTCATTGTCATTTTAAGTGTTGGTCACAGGATATCATACCGACACTTAAAATGTAAATGAAAAATTTCAAAATTGTATGGAGATGTCAAGCAGAAAGTTGCAGCTACAGTGTCTTCTGTATATGGGATATAAATGGTAACCATTTCTTCTTTGTTTGCAGACGGTACAATCAAAGATCCATCGGCAGTCCTGTTGTGTTCATATTGACAGATTCGACCCATCAGCAGAGCAGCGCCAAGCACCTCTTCCCGCCTGAAGTACAGCAGGAACTCTCAGTGATTAACATAACGTAGGGGTAACTTTGATATAATATACTTTACATTATACTTTTGTGTCAGTAAACTACAAAAATGCAGTTGTACTGTTTTTTTTAATTACAAAATTATATTTTTTCATACGTTGCTATACTTTTAACATATATCATTAGCAATCTACCCATTCTTCAGATATTACATAACAAAAATGAAATTTTTAAATAAGCTTAGAATTGAATAGTATATTAATGTTTTGCAAATTGTCATAACAATCATACTTGCATAATATCCTGCATTATTACTTTATCTTTGGATTATCTGCATCACATAATGTGGGTACTTCTCTCACCTCTCTTTGTATCTAAATTAGATCATATTTCACTAAAGGCATTATAATAAACATATCAACCATGTATGCATATATTTACAAAATGCTAGATAACAGGTTTCTCTTGGCAAAATATTAAAATATTCCTTGTGGGTAGCATGCAATAGAACAGTCATGCTTTGGGCCCTGTGTAGAGAGAGAGATAATTTGGCACTGCATGTTCACCAATGGACCCCTTATGCACTGGGCAGTAATTAGGAACTGCCTAATATATAAAGGTTGCTGGATCAAGTTTAGGAATAACATAACATAAAATTTACCTAAGGGATAACATAGCATAACGTAACATAAAATTTGATATGATTGCCAATGTACTAGACTCACAAATTTTGTATTTGTAAAATTCTTGTAAAAATTATATAAACTTTAATGGTTATTATTTATATGAGTTATATATTTCAAAGTATTTAGGAATACAGTTTGGTAATTATAAATAATTTTGACATAGAATTAGCCAAGATATGCCAGGTGGCAACATTAAATTATTTATTCAGTTTTGTATAAAGTATTTCTTTTGAGTTACAAAAAACTTTTTTGTGCTTTAATATACTGTGTCATAATATGCCATTGTATCATATACTGTATATAATTTTAAAATATTAAAAAAAAAAAATTAGTTTGAAGAGAATAACCAATTTCCTATGTCTCATTCTGCTAAGGGTTAAATAATTAGTGCCATGGAATATAAAGGAAGCCAGTAACAAATTATACAATTCAAATAACGTACATTTATGATGCGCTCATTATAGAAATGTTTGCTAGGTTCAATCCAATAGCAAGTGGACTCTTGGTGAAGGCATTAAATCGAGTGGTCAGCATGGAGAGTGCGCGTGATGAGGGAAGAGGAAGTTCGCTCCCTTCTCGTGACGCTTTACAGGTTTTGGCAGAAACTTCAGGTGGTGATATACGGAGTGCAATCAATTCTCTTCAGTTTGCAGTTAAAAAAGGTGAGTGTGTAATGACTGAAAAAACTCTTAAGAGAATATTAATAACTTTTGAGATATTATGAGAGGTGAACACACACACAGATTAAGATCATATTAAAAATGGTAAGGCTAAGTGGGGTTGGATTTTACCGTTGTATGCAAACCAGGTAAGTATAGAAGGGAGGGGAACTGTCAGAAGAAAGTGCCAAGCCATTATGACTGGCTTGGCACATTAGCCTTTGGAAGGGGTCAGATGTGCATTTGGGATGTGACAGGAAGAAGGAATGGTGCCCAACCACTTGGAAAATTGGGGATTGAACGCTGACCTGCACGAAGCGAGACCGTCACTCTACTGTCTAGCCCAAGTGGTTGGGCTGGGCAAGTTAAATTAAGAGTGTATATTAATCAAATCTTTCAAAAGGGTTGTACTAGAGGATGTGTGTAGACATAATTACTACAAGCATACTTTAATGCCTTGATTTCTAATACATTGAGGAATTTGGGTAGTTCCAGAGGAAGAGTGAGCCTTGTTAGTGATCCTTACCACTGACTCATGTATGCAGTATTCAGTGCTTGTGAGAAACTTGCCTTCTACACTAGATTAGGTGTTTCTTAGGTGTTCAAGTGAGATGTTGGCCCAGGACTGATGGGCAGTCCTGGGCAAACCCAAGCTCAAGATGTCCTTCAGCTGACATCTTTCCTCTGCAGATCTTCTTTATCATGTGCCAGAGGATCTCAGTTGAGATCTTGGCTGTTACCTGGCAAATCTTTAGAAAGGATTAGCATGAAAGGGATGCATGCAGTCATCAAGTCACTTGGTTTTCTTATGGTGTGGGTTTATCTCAGGCAGGGGTTTCGACAAGCTTGGTGTGTTTCCTAAAATCCATAGTGAATCGAGTTGTTTACCTGGAGTTGCTTTGTGAATATTTGCTGGATTTTTTTGAGCTTGCACATGCCAGCATGTTTAAACAGGATGGTGCTCCTGCTCACATTACCAAATCTGACACCAAGTGGCATGATGGCTGGATGGTACCCTTCATAAAGGCTTGGCCAGGTAACAACCCAGATCTCAACCTAATTGAGATCCTCTGGCACATGTTAAAGGAGGATCTGCAAGAGAATGATGTTGGTTCCAAACCCAGGCTCAAGAAGGCCATCTGTCAGTCCTGGGCAAACATCTCACCTGAACACCTAAGAAACTTAGCACTTTCATATCTCCAAGCCATGAAGAAGAAAGGCCACCCAACCAAGTATTAACACTTTCGCTCACCCCGCGCGCCACCCCTTGACAGGGCGATATGGGCCCCAGCGTGTCACGGAAGCGCGCGTTAATTCCGAAAAGTGTATACTCTCTTCAACTTTGTCACCTCAATTCTCCTTCTACGAGAATAAATTTGGTATCATTGTGTTCGCAATAAAATTCTCTACAGCACTAAATGCATATAAACTCCAAAAGCCCGGCTAATTACCCGCAGCAAACAGAGAAAGTGCGAACGAGTTACCCGGGAGCGCGCAAACGGGATGAAATGTTTTCACTATTTTCACTCTGGTCACCTCAATTTTTGTCCTAGGTCTTTCATTTTGGTCTCAATGGGTTCGTAATAAAATTCTCTAGAGGAACATTAGCATATAAAAAAAAACACCTGGTCACGCTCCAACCGCCGACGAGTTGAAGACGGGCCACGCGTTAGCCGTGAGTGAGCGCTCAGAGGCCTTCCTACTACACTCCCAATTCCCACCCTTTTCAAGCCTTTCTTTCGCAATTTTCTTCCTGGAAGGGCCTTGTTCATGATTACTATCCATCGTGGAGTAAGCGTAGATAGTTTCTAAAGCCGCAGTAAGAAATATAGCCACGGAAAATAGCCGAAATGTTCACACGTTTGAGATGCGAGGGGAGACGACATTGGTCACAACAGTGGAGCAAAGACAATGGGCCCACGGCGTGTGCCAAGCCGCCTGAGGGCCACGAGGCTCAACAAAGGAAATGGGAAGACATCGGCGCACATTTTAAAACCAGTCCCCAAAAAATCGGATACAAACCTGATTTTTGGCGAATTTGTAAAGTGGATGACGCAATGCTGCGTCATCCCCGGCATTGCCGCCAGTAAACGGATGACGCAATGCTGCGTCATCCCCGAGCGAAAGTGTTAAAAGATAATTACAATACAGTATTTACTATAAATTTCCTTGTGTTTGTTGTGTATATTGAATGTGACCTAATTCTGGCGGCAGATGTGCATCACCTCGAGGGGTTATTCACTGGATCATCGACTGTGGGAAGAACATCAACCAGAACTAAATCACAAAGCAAGCATCAACCAAGAAAAAGTGCTGCTGCTAAACTTGATGATAATGGTGTTGATGGTTTTGCTACAGTAGGAGGGAAGGATGCCTCTCTCTTTCTCTTCAGAGCACTGGGGAAAGTTCTTTATTGCAAACGTAAGTGTTACCAACTTGCATTGTATTAAAGTTCATGTATTAATTTCTGAAAAATGTTTACTGCATGAATATGGCTAATGGGTGGTATAACAGACCAATTTCTATATCAATACAGACCTCAGTTTTCAGTGTTTTAAATCAAGCCTGACTGTACCGCTCTTTATATTTTTGTTCACATGGCAAAATATCTTAAAATAGTATGGTCAAATCTTCCTGGCAGCACACAAAATGGTGGTCGATGTAAGAGAATGTTAAATTTTTAATTTTTGGATATACAGTACTTTTTTTAAATTGTTTCTACTATTCTGTATTTCACTTTGAAAATTATTAAAATTATTAGTAACACAATAGGGATGGGGAAACCTTATCCCTCACCAGTATGTGCTGCAAATACCCTTGTGTCTGTTGCAGTAAAGGAGTGGGAAGATTAAACTAGAAATATAACTTCGTGACTTCTTCACGTGAAGGGCAGATTTGGCTTCAAATCGAGGCCTTGCATCTGCTCAGGTCCTAGAAAGAAAAGTTGGCTTGTATAGTTGTGTGGAATGTGGGGAGAGTAAATGATGAGCAAAACAGAATGGAAGTGGTGAAAGGTTCTACGGAAGCAATGTGATAAAAGGATCAGAAATGAGAATAAAGAGTTGAATGTTGTAGGGATATTGGGAGCACAAGTGAGAAGAGTAGAGGAAGGTTTATGTGGTAGAGTTTTTACCACATAAAAAATACTATCTACAAAGTGCTTAATGTTAATTAGGCTAAGCACTAAGCAGTTTACAGCACTAAAACTGCACAAATGAGCAGGTCTAGTGGTAAGACATATACTGTAGATCAAAGAACAGTGCTCTAATGATATTGGTATACAAAATTTTATTTGTAGACCTTCATTTTTAGTTTTCTCCCAGCTTTGTGTCTTCATTTGATAATTACAGTGCTATTTTAATAATGGGTAGTGTGGAGTAATGGCAGTTTTTGTAATCTGTGATTTGGTGTTTGTTGGATTGACTGATTCTTAAAATAGATATTTACTATGTTGAAGTTACACCCCCTTAAAAAATGGGAATGTTAAAACAGGGTATGATTTTAGTGATAACACTTTGCTTTTTACATTTTAATGTAATTTGGCCCGTATATTTGATACGTTCCCTTGCCTCAGGTAACCAAGATGTGGGTGTGGTTGAACCATTGCCAAAGCACCTTCAGCTCAATGAAAGAACTCCACTCCAGGAAAATCCAGAAAGTATTTATGAAAACACATCCATGGGAGCAGCAAGTTTTAGTGTATTCTTGCACCACAACTGCTTGGCCTTCTTCTCGGACATTGACAGTGCAGGCCAGGCATTGCAGCACCTGACTGACTCCGATGTCTTAGCTGCTGAGTGGACGGTTTGTTGATTGCTTATTACAGTGCCTATTTAGTTTTCCAACCTCCAGTTCCAGTAATTTCTGTGTTGGTCAGACTAAAACATAGCATTCTTGGAGAGAGTAGAACTCTTGGAACCAACTATAGTTAAACTAGTTAGCACCCACAGCCCTCCCTACCACTGTCATGGGGCTGTGATACTTGTTGTGGTATACTCAGTGTAAACCTACCCACTATACTGTGCTTTAGGGCTGCTTTATTCATTTCAAACATACACTCCAGCAAGCCCTCCAGGTCAAGTCCTGGCCCCCGGGTAAAGTACTACCATAAATTTACCTGCTTTAGGGTCTGATAGAATCCTCCATACTGGACACAAGGAATAACTATCATGTATACTTCATGGTTTATTAATCAAAGAATCCTTTCCCATGACAAAACCCCCCTGGCACTGTCTATTGACATTTACTTTATGCTCAAAATTACCCAGAGACAGGGATAAAGGTTCATAAATGAAACACACTAGGCAGGCCCAAAAACATCTGAAGGAGGTACAGTTGGAATATCCCATAACCCATAAAGACTTAAGGAAATCCTCTCTAAACTCGGTCCCCCCAAAACAATAACAGTGGAGAAAGCTTAGAATTGCTTACAGTAAGAATAGTTATTAAAGAAGATTGGTGGGCCAGTTATTAAAGAGTACACAAGGACTTATCTGAGGCAAACTTCCAAGAGTCAACAAAATATGACCGCTAATCCTTCAGTTCAGTTAGCAATTGAATCTGCATTCCCACGGTGCCTCAGAGTAGCCCAAATGATCATACAGTAACAGTCTACCTGACTTATTTAACCACCACCCATTTTTTTACATTGTCACACCATATATAATGTACCCTTCTGGCCGTTTATTAATTCACTAATTTACACATTATTTTTTCTTAAAACTAGCCTGGAGCTTACATGGCAATAATCACTTGTATATGTCTGGCAGCAATGCATTCTCACCTGCCTCCAGACTCAATGTATTCACTTTATTTATTTGCAACATTATCATGTTTCACTATCCAAGAGCACCCTTGTCATAACAACCACCCACACCATCCACCAACAGGTCTCTACTACCCACACAACACAGCTCTTCCTACCACCCACAGCACTCCTGATGGTATATAGACATAGTAAAAGGAATCGACAAAATTGACAAAGAAAATTTTGTTAAACCCAACTTCAAGAACAAGAAGACATAGGTTCAAACTATGGAAACAAAATTGCTGAAAAAACATTAAAAAGTTCACCTTTACAGAATGGTAGACATTTGGAATAAGTGAGGTGGTGGTAGCAGCCAAAAACTGTCATTAGTTTCAAAGCATCACATGACAGATTACTGGGAAGACAGGACACTATGAGGATAGTTCTCATCCTGTAACTACACTTTAGCAATTACACTTGTCATTTCCACAAACACACACCGTCTGTAAAGTATGCAAGTACAGTAATGTACAACTTTGCCATGACTGGCGATGTAACCTATTTTTCCCATGTTTGTAACCCATGTAACAGGAATGAACTTTTGTGTTATATTATAACAATTTGTTGGTAATTATTTATTTAAATATTTTGTTTTATTACTATATCTCCAAATGCAGGTTCTGCACTATTCACTTCCTATTTTGAGGGTGGGGAAATGAAGGCGAAATAATTACGAACATTGTCATTCCATTGCCTTGAGTTATTGCACAGGTGTAACAAGCCTTCATGTGTACCAAAATGGGGTCCTGTTTGAATTGATGTTAAACTGTGGAGGCACTGTATACCAAAAATTTAATCTTGAATAAAATGTCATTAAATATTTATATTTTTGTACTAAAACTATTTTTATATATTTAAAGGGCAGGGAAGTATTGGAAGATTATGCAGCCTCTGTAACAATACGAGGTCTGATGCATGCAAACAAAGGCAGCAGTTCAGGTGGCGGGTGGCGTCCATTCACACGACCTCAGTGGTACAAAGCGCACAAGGAAGGTCAGCAGAATGTATTATACCTGAAGAATGAACACCGAATGGCTTCACTGACTTCAGAGGAATTAACAACAGTTTTTGTCCCAATGAAAGCCAAGATTTTGACCGCTGAAGGAAAAGGTAAACATGTGTAGATGGTTGCAATGCATAAAATGGATCCTTATGCATGCTTGTAATTGTGAGCCATGTTATTGTCATATATATACATACACACATACAAACATTCACCCATACCCCAAAAAACACTGCATTAAGTTGGCTTGTAGCTTAATTTTTGCATTTCCAAAACTGTATAGTGCTAGGATGGGTATAATATAGCATGCATTAAGTTAGGCTGTGCCACTATTGTCAGACTTTAACCTTAAGCTTAAATTACTGCGTTCTGTTGGTGAATCATATACCTTTGATATTACTCGCCTTCTGCACTTGTGTTCTCGTATTAGCATCCTTAGTGATATTTAGCACCTCTTGGATAATCTGCGACTTTGGTGGTGCTACATAGTCTCCCCAGCTTGGTGCTTTTTGATAATTACTGTGTTCTGTTTGTAACTTATCTTGAACACTAAACATTGTCCTGCCTATAGCATATTCAAGATGGTATTTAGTTACACCTCTTTCAAATTTTGATAATCAGTTAATTTCCAGGAATTTTTCCTTTTTTGGCAATTTATCACTAAATTTTCCTTATTGTGAGTGATTTGTTTAAGCATACTGTATTTGGACAAATAATTGTGTGCCAAAACAAATAAAAAAAAAAAAAAAAAAATTTTTTGAGCACAGGCTAATCTTGATAATACTGAGGCAAAATACAACTATCCATATAGTAGTGTCATGCTATGTAATGAACTTCATTACACAAGCACAGCCAATTTTGGATCAAATTGCCTGTTACTGCTTGCATTCCCTTTGATACCTTCATATTTTGTGCCTTTGTTGACATGCAGCATTACTGTGTGTTACTATAGGTTGTTTTCATCCTCTCTGAATTGAAATGTCATCAGCTGTTTCTGTCCTACTTAGTTGGGAGTTTCATCTTTACATTTATTAAACTGTTGGAACCTAACTGCACTACCTAATTTAAGGTTAGGTTTGCTCAGTAAGGTTACTCTGATGTGATATGGTCTTCATGGTGGCTTATTTACACCATCTGGTCACCATTTGGTCCGGGAGACATCTCCCGTCATGCAGGGTGCAGTCGCACCTCCACAGATCTCCAGTATCAGCTTTTGATACTGGTAATGGCTTAAAAGGGCCACCACTTACGGGCTATTCATGCCCGTGCCACCTTTTGGGTGGCTTAATCTTCATCAATCAATCATCGGTGGCTTATTTAACATTGGGAGTCAACTTGTGTATTGGACATAGACAAAAATTTTAATTTTTTTAGCAACAAAACTTGGGTTTTACTCACATTATGAATTGCATCATACTTGTTTACCTAGAGTATGCATACAACATGTGTGAAAACATGCATATAAACCTTTACCAATTCAATTTCAATCTTGATATATTAATAGAAAGAAACTTCCAATTTATTGGAAAAATATAACATTTATTCATGAAATTATAATTTAGTATTTTTTCATTCAGGTCATTTTTCCTTGACAAAAGAAGTGGGACTGTTCTCCGAAGTCCATCTGAAGACTACCAGTGAGCGACTTGGAGAGGTCGATGCTGATGCGTCTATCACAGAAGATGAGGTAAGGGAAGTAGTCCCTAGAAATGTCTCGCTACCATATTTAGAGGCACAGGAACCAGGTGTAAATAACCAGGATGATGATCCAGATGAAGACTTCAGGATAGAAGAATTTGAAGACGATTGATTAATAGCTTAAATTTAATTTTATTGATAGTAATAGATTTGTATATAGAAATATTTTGTTTACATGTATAATGATTATATTTAGACATGTGCATCACAGCTTTAAAACTTTACTATGGCAAATGCTATCTTGGGCCTATATGATGTTAGTTTAATAATGACCAAGTTTCAATTGAATTAACTTTAGTTGTCAATTCTAACTTATTTATATTACCTAGTAAATTGTGCATTATAGACAAGTAAAAGGGAGTCTTGTTATATATAATTTTAAGTTTCAATGCAACTAATCTATTCAATTATTAAACTCATTTGTTTAATGAATTCCTAGTTGCTCTAATACATAAATTCATCTGCACATCAACAAACCAATAAAGCTGTTTATAATTCAAGTATCATATTTTGTAACATGTTTCCAATATTAATACTGTAATAACAAGCATTTAAATCCTGATTACAAGATTCCTTGTAATATTCATCTGTCATTATACGAAGGATAAATTCATACACAAAGAAAAAGGTAACTGAAGTACATGAGAATCTCTTGAGAATTTTAATCAATGGACAGGAGTTACTGTACAATCACTGCCACAGACTTGCTAAAAAGTGATGAAACTTTGTAGCCCCATCTATTACCCAGCCAAGATAGAGACAGTTACCACATCCCCATACCCACCTAGTAGTCCTGCTGCAGACATCTGAGCATGGAATATTACTTTGACTGTTCAGAGTGAATGGAATGTAATGCGTTTGGTGCACAATCTTTGTACGCCAACCACACAAGGGGTTTGTGTAAAAGATGAAGAAACAGGCTAAGGTAATTGGGTAGATAGATATTGGACTAGGTAAGGGAGTATCTGATAGGAAACGGGGGGTAATAGTTAAAGAGGATATGTTGGAATGGAAGGAAGTAGCATGCAGTGTGTCTCAAGGCTCAGAACAGGAGTCCAGAGAGTATATTAATGATATACCTGAAAGGTGCAACTAGAGATCCCACAGTCAAGAGTAGGCAAACAAATAGCTCCTAGAGTTAAGTCCCAGTAAGTATTGGATAATAAAGGTGGGAAAAGGGGAACGGAAACTGAAAGGGCATAACACAAGAGGAAGATGTTATCCAATCTACACATAGGAAAATAAAGAAACAACGTTTCGGTTCATCTAGGAACGTTAGTTATGTAATAGTGGTATAGAGAATATAAGGTTATGAATGAGACGAAAGGTAAAAATAAGATGAAAAGTAAGAATAAAGACAATTAGGTTAGAAGGGAAGAATAGGAAAAAAGAATAAAATAAAGTTATAAAAATAGAAAGGTAAAAATTAAGAAAGAAATGACCTGCAAGAAGCCAAATGACTAGAAAAAATCTAGTAACCAGAAAGAAGAGCACCTAGAGAGGGGGTAAAGCTAAGTTAGATCTTATATGTTAAAGGTTAAAGCATTTAAATATGTACAATACTGTGAAAGGGAAGAGCCAAGTGCATCAAAGCCAGGACTAAGGTTAATGTTGGGATTGTTGTGTATTAGGACAGTATCTGAAGAGTACAGGCAGACAGGAGTACTTTAGAATACAAATCTATAGGTTCATTAATTAAAGAGTCCCTAACATGACAAAGGCATTGATTGTGTCTGTAAACTTAACACTTCTTTTGTGTTCCTCATCTCTGTCATTCAATGTACAGCCAATTTCACCAAAGTATTGGAGAGGACAAGACAAACAGGAAAAGAATAGCCAACAGGAGCATTGGAAGCAGGAGGAACCAGATTACTACAAAGAGTGTGTTAGTTTGTCGAAAGGCAAATTTTACATCAAGAGGAAAAATGGGTATGAGCAAGATTTTTGAGTTCAGATATGAAGGGAGGCTACAGCGAAGTGTTACTAGTGTTCGAAACAGGTTTGCAGATTATATGAATTTCTTTTAGCTTGAGAATACAGTTGATAATGTAAAGAGGACAAATTCTCTTCTCTTCCCAGTGATCTGTGTAATCTCTTATTTCCCATCACTTTCAACACTACATGCCTCTCCTCTTCCCTCCAGTCTTCCACACTACACAACAAACTTCAACAGTCTTTGGGCTAAATGCTCTCTTGTGTTACCAACCTTTCTTCTTCCTCTCTCTCTAAGCACTTAGCATGAACAACTTGGTTCATAAAATAAATTTATTTCATCCCAAACCTGTTTCCATCATTAGTAACATTGCTGTGACTTCCTTTCATGTCTGAACTCAAAAAGCTCACCAATACCCATACCCTTTTAATGTAAAACTCTCTCTTGACAAACTTAGTTCATAGTGATTTGGTTCACACTGCTGCTCCTGCTTTCAAGTGCTGCTGTTGTCTTCTTTATTTGCCGTTTGTCTTGTCCTCGCCAATACTTTGGTGAAAATGGTTGCACACCGAATGACAGACATTCTTCGATAGAAAAATGAAGGCCGTAATCAGAGGCAATGTATCGGATTGGAGGAATCCTCTGATACTCCTCTCTTGACAATCTGGCTCCTTCTATCCATTTAACAGTTTAATGGTAATCTAATTACCTCCTTCCTTTTTTGACGTTAATGTTCACAGCTATTTGTCTGGGGTCTCTATCTCTGTCTACCGCAAACCCATGCATAGTGGCATGTACTGTACATTCACTTCTTTTCCTACCATCTTCCTCCTGTTAGGAAAAGTGTTCTTGTCTCTCTCTCTCTCTCTTGCTCTACACATCAGTGACCCTCTTACGGGCTCATCATAGCCCGTGCTACTTTGAACTTTGTTCTGAGAAGCTGAATCTAAAACAAAACAACATTGACCCTCAGTTTCTTGATTTAGAAATTTCCCTTTATTTACAAATATCTCTCTTGTTACCCTTAACATTTTATCAACTGTGCCTATTCTCAAGCCAAAGGAACTTTTTGTTTAGCTGCTAGTGTTTACTCTATTTCCTGTTCTTTTCCTCTCCAATACTTTGGGGAAACTAGCTGTACATTAAATGACAGACTTAAAAGAACACAAAAGTGTTAACTCTGCAGACACAAACAATGCTCTCTTCTGTCATGTTAGGATTTTAATCATCCTATTGATTGGTCTTCTAAAATAATCTTTCCTGCCTCTAATCTTCACAGATGCTGTCTTGTCAAATTGGCTCCGAGCCAGAACATGAACCCTAGTCCTGGCTTTGTTGTTGTTGTTGACTCTTCCCTTTCACAGTACATACTCAAATACTCTAACCTTTCTAACAAACATGACCTAACAAAAGCCTACACCCATTTCTTTAAGTCTTACATGCCTATTCTTCAGTCACCCCATTATTACACCTATCCTATCTGTACCTTTCTTCTTACCTTAATCATATCTTCAGCCACATTATTGTAACTCATTAGTACCAGTAATGTTTCCAGAATGTGCATCACTAACATTGAAGTAAATATCAAAGGTGTCAAACTTGGAAAACTTTAGCAATCACCAACAATGAATCCTTATATTTTGAAGCCCAAATTAGAGAGAATCTAGATTTACAACAAGGCTAGCACCCGAAATATTTTATTAAACAACTATATAGATAGGTTAAGGGAATTCAACTTAGACTAGAAGAGGACGCATGGTCACAACGTACAAAATACCAAGAGGAATAGAATAGAGAGAGATACTGATGTTTTCAATTGAAGGATAATTAGCAAGATTACATTGGAGGAAGTTAGAAATGCAAGCGAGTCAAAAGGAAGAAAACACAAAATACTCTTACAAAATATGAGCGAAATGCACTAAAAAAATGGATGCCACACTTGCTCAATTTTCAGAAAAAGTACGACAGTGAACTCAATTATCGGAGAGAGAAACCCCTGAATAAGAGTAACTTGGTGACAAGGCCATAGCGTTGAATGTCACTCCTAGTTATTGATAGCTTTAAGGGTTCTCCACAAACTTGGCTGGGTCTATGAAGTTTCACTTCTCTTAGCAGATCCATGTAATCACTGGTCCACCTAATTTTCAGCAAGTGATACAAGACTTTGTATCCCAACAATGAAAGCTATTAATGTATATTCAGTGGTAAAATCCCTATACTGTACACCTCAATTGTTTAATAGACATGGTCTTAAATAGGTATTCATATAGGCTCTTACCATTTAAAATATTTATGAATATTTCCAATTATTAGTGACTAAGTTTGGCACAAGACTGAAATGTGAAAACAATTATAGGCTAAAACATGTTGAAAATGGAAGATACTGCTGTAGGAAAAGGCCAGCAAAGATATGGAATGTGATAACTAGTGAAAGTAAGTAATTATCAAAAGAAATAACTGCCGAAAAGACTAGCTAGCATGAGAGAAAAAAAAGGAAGAATGTTGGATTTTTTACATCAACACTAGTGGTCCTCTTATCACACATTCCTAACCAACATTTCGAGCTGGGTGGTAGAGCAACGGTCTTGCTTCATGCTGGTTGGCGTTCAATCCCTGACCGTCCAAGTGGTTGTGCACCTTTCCTTCCCCCCGTCCCATCCCCAAAACTTATCCTGAACCCTTCCAAGTGATATACATTATATTCTGTCATAATGGCTTGGTGCTTTCTCCCAATACTTTCCTTCCCCTCTCGTGCATGCATGCATTCCACAGAACACAATGGAAGTTTGTTGCTTTTAGTACAATATTATAATAATGTACATTACAAAAATCTTGGAAAAAAACAAGTTTACAGGTACAATGATAGTTGAAATACAGTACTTGTATAATTTTATATAAATAATGGGACAATCATAACCTATCTTACGTATGCTATACAGTGATGAGGGTGTCGCGTTGGCTTCACTATTGTCATTCCTCAGGTCAATGGTGGACAAGAGGCATTGTATGATGTTGAGGTGTACCATGAAGAACTGTTGGTCTTTGAACAGGCAATAGGCAGTTTTGTAGCACACAGCACAAAGGACAAGGAGACGCTCAATGGCAGCATTCAACCTGACAAGGGTGATAAAGGACATTCAATAGAGACCAAGGGTGACATCAATAGACACCAAGGGTGACATATAGTTGTAGAGACATAACTTTTGAAGGGTGGGGTGGAATGACAGGAATATAACTGAGTGGGCGCTTGGGCAGATGCTGCTGACAAAGGGGAGAGTTGGAGAGACTTATCAGTCACAACTGCAGCAGTCAACAAAGACAACTGCTACCGATGGAGCAGCAGCTGGAGTTCTGTGGTAAATTGCAACTGCTGCAGTTACAGGCTGCTGATGGAATGGCAGCTGGAGAGCTGTGTTGAAGTCAACTCAAAGGAAAAAAAATCAAAGTCAGCTGCTGCAGTCAGAATGGTAGCTGGAGGTCTGTGGCAGAGCTGCAGCTGTGAATCTGCACTACTAAGCTATTCAACTGCCAATCCATTAGCAACAGCTGTAGCTCGCTGTAGCTCACTGCCATGAATCTCCCACAGCATTAGCTACAACTGTTATCTTTACCACAGACCTCTCCAGCCACCCCTCTGTCAGCAGCAGCCGACTTTGACTCTATGACAGCTGTAACTCCCAATCACACAGCTCTCTGACTGCACTTCTGTCAGCAGTTTATGCTGCAGTTGTGTCTTCCTGTCACAAAACTCTAGCTATTAATGCATTAGCAGCATCTGTCACAGCAGTCCTTGTCACCATGGACCTCTCCAGCTGCTGCTCAGTAGCATCATACTAACTTGTTCTATTTTTGGCTCCTTTTACTGAGCCACATATGGCAGTTATACTCACCTCCACTAGCCCCACTGCTCGGTGGCTCTTCAGCGTCGCTCTAGCAAGTCTGATTTACTACCAAGCCTCTTTTTATCATCAAGGGTGCATCTACTAGTAATTACCCAGGTGTCCTGTCTTCCCAGTAGATGCTATGAAACTACTAATGGTTTTGGCATCCACCACTATCACATTTTTTTCCAGCTGTTTGGAAAGCAGCACTTTCTAATATTTGTTCCCTTAGATCTATGATCTCGAGTACTGTATACACACGTTCCGAGATCTGCTGTTTTTTATGGTTTTGCCTCTGCACTGAATGCCTGTCTACTGCAACTCCTGTCCACTATAGACTTGGAGAATGGCACCAACTCTAGCCAGGAGACTGTCATGACACTAAGGATGCTCCTGAGAGCAAAGTTGAGTTTTTAAGATGTTCATGTGTCAAGGAATTTTAACAAATTTGCATAATAGTGATACAGACTATAATACTGTACCTTTGAAGAACAAAAACAATTGCAGAGAGCAGCAGCACTGTCTTCCCTAACAGTGCAGTCTCTGCTACACAACTGAAGTAATTCTCTCAGTTTAATACTACAGTAATTTCTGGAATCAAATAATAGGCCAAAGGCAACTAAAAATAAATACTTTACTGACCTTGTGGAAAATGTAGCAGGGAGACTTGTGCACAGAACCCAATAATTACTTTCACAATTTATAAATTGTAGCATGTATTAAGTGTTGGTGGTAGTAGTAGTAGTAGTAAACATCAGTGGCTACATTAATTGTGGTAGAAGAGTGTCAGTGATTCCCATCAACAATGGAACCTCTCAGGAAATGTTGAATTTTCATTGATCTTATATTCTGGTGGGGCAATGAGGAATGCATTAGTGTCCTGCTTCCTTAGATGTTTTCTGCGGCATTTGAGTGCAAGGACACAACGCTCTAGCTCTGAAAGTTCAACACCTGTGTCACTATCCTCACCACTTATGTCTCCTTGCAACAAGTCGGGATAGACATCGGATGGGTGGCTGCAGGCACTGGAATGCCGAGATGCTTCACGCACAATATCTTCTTCATAGCTGTAATGGCGGTAGTCTGGCGGAGCAATCAAGGCTGCTTTACAAATCATCTTCCCAGTGTCAGAAGGCAATGGATGGAGTCGACTTATGGAAGATTCATTGTTGTGGCGCTGGGACTCCTTTTGCAGATACCATAGTAGCTTGTGAGGGCTGACAACACCCTTATGTTCCAATGACAGACATTCCTCTGTAGAAGTACATGAAATTTTTAACTAAATGTTTTAAAAAGGAAAATTTATACTAAATTTGTTACCAATAAACAACACAATTTAGGCCAATCTACAGTGTTTTCCTAGCAGCAAGTCAGATTGAATATCCTAATGTGCATTAAATGTTAAATAGTAATGATTAGTTTCTTCAATACAGTCAATTTAAGAACCCACATTTTTCAGCAGTCCTGTAGCACCTCGGCTCAAACTGAGGGACACGGTTACAATCCCCAGGCAGGACAAATGGTTGGGCACTTTCTTAGTTCACCAAGCAGTTAAATAGGGACACAGGAGTTAGGAAACTGCTGTAGGTTGTATCCTGGGAATGGTCATCAGTGGGGGGAATCAAGAGTCCCTTGCTTTCCTTCTAGGGCCTTGGTAAAAATATACTAGGAGCCACTGAACTCTTAAAATCACTCATTTTCTGATGTTGTCTTTAAATATACATATAATTGCATATAGCACACATTACAAGATTTAGTGTATATAATATATAAATATATATATATATACAGTATACACACACACATACAGTATTAGTATTAATAAATACATGGTGTGTGTATATTTATACATGTATCTGTATATACATATTTTCAAAGATATACAGATATACATAATGACCACCACCTTTGACATTCCATTCACATTTTTATACCACCCTTTGACACATCAATACAAAGTGTTAGAATGAAAAAAAAACTAAATGTGAAACAATAAAAATAAATCCATGAAGTTATTCTCTTATCCTCTATAAACTTATCCTCATGTCTGCCGCTCCCCCCCAAAGAAATTGCAACTTCACTTTGTCACTACAGCTAAATTACAGGAAGTACACTTTTTACTTGGATTTTCATACTTCCTGGATGCTAATTAACAATATCAAAAGAAATTTTTTTTTTTGTAAACCCCACGGGCTTGTCATACTTAAATGGTGAGCAGTGTAAAGGTTAAAGAAAGTTTGTTGCTAAGGTTTATGTCTTGCTGTTGGCAGTTGAGCCTCTCTGGTGCTTGGCTAAGTATTGTCACTGTTATTTAACTCAAACATTTACCCAAGTTTATGTAATAAAAGCCTCATGTTGCTTATAAAACCTTTGCTCAACAGTGGTTTATGTCTTCGGCTCCAACCAAGAACCCCAGATTCAATCCCAGGGCAGTAGAGATGGTTGGGCATGTTTCCTTTCACCTGATGCCTCTGTTTACGTAGCAGTAAATAGGTACCCGAGAGTTAGGTAACTGTTGTGGGCTGCAACCTGGGTAAGATCAGTAGCTGGCCTAAAGGGGGGGTGGGGGGGGAGGTCCTTGATTAGCCTCATAGGCTTCCTGTCCCAAACAGCAGGAAACCATAATGCGTCATTTTTTTTTTTGCATTGCTGACAAAATAAGTGTTCTTATACCCACAACCCAGATCAAGCACAATGTTTACATGCTAGTTTAGTAAGTAATCATTCATCCCTAAATAACCATAAGCTTCCATTCCTTGCAACAAAATTAGTGTCGTGTATAAAATGCCTGTATTTTAACGGTACTAGTAGTTCAATCCTGTTTTGACATTTATTTATGATCCCCTTGGTCCCCACACTTCTATTAACATGCCAGATGATGTTTCGAAGGTCTGTGAAAGTCCAGAGGCCTAGTAAATTTGTGGATGTCTGTGGTACCAGAGCCAACCCACTGGAAAGCTACCGAGGCCACCCAGAAAAGGGTTTTCATTTCATTCACCGCTTGATTCACAAGGGTGTTTGGTGTGTTCCATCAAATGGTGAGGATTTCTTCCCTTAGGATTCTCGCCATGAGTTATCAGACGTGCAAAATCAGACTGAGTAGTCTGCAGTTTTCTGTTGCTCTTCTCTCAAAGTAAGAGGGACATCTACACATTTCCAATCTTGGGGAAAAAATTCCTTTGAGAATGGTTTTCTGAATAGGTGTTTATGGAAAGCCACCTGGAATCCTTTAACTTGTTGATAATGTAATAATTTTTACATAAAGTTTACATTAATAATTTAAACAAGTTAAACTTGTTGATCTTTTAATAATGTTCTGCATGCCAGTTTATATTCATACTTCTACTGTTCAAAGATATTTGATTTCTAATTACTAAAATTTTGGTAAGAAAGCATTTATCAACTAGTTTTATCACTGCAGTTATCTAATCTACACAACCATGAAATTTACCTTGAAAAAAAACAAAAACATAAAAAAATGGTTGGACAACGTTTATCATTAAATGCAACTGCCATCACTTAGACAATGGTACAGTACTCACTACGAGTGAAGGTATCCTGATGGTTCTCATCTTCACTAAGTCCCGGTCCACTACCATCGTCTTCCTGGATGCCCAATACTCGGTCCATCTCAGTATAACACAGGTGGCTCTTTCTTTCCACTTTTGAGACAAGTTTGATGTTCTCTGGAAGCAAGGCAAACGTTTATCATTTAAAATGCTGATCTTCAAGAAAATGCTGCTAAAACATAAATGGTCCCATCTTTGATCATTATGCCATCATATTTTAGGAGGTAAAAACTAACCCAAACTGAGAACATGCTTATCAGTGCTAAAATACATATAAATAAATGAATAAAGTCATCAAGCAGAAGCAGCACACATTGCTTTTTTGACAGTAAGTATGCGAGTGTAGTGATGCTCTTTATCACTTTGTAGAAAGGAGCAAAATATCACTTGTGAAGATTGATTGGCCTCATACAAAACTACAATATCAGATTTAGGAAATTCAGATCTCAGGAAAATGTTAAAATAACTATCACTGTTCAAGAAAACTTTAGTTCTCAACAGTACTACACATTGTTAGAAAATATGAATCTTTTGTCAAGTACGTGTATCTCAGTTTAACACAAAAATTTAATTATTGTACTTTAATCATTGAACATCGTTAAATCTAAAATTACTTTACACACTTAAGTGGACTCTTTATCTTTAGAATGCAGAAGCACAATACTATTTTAACTTCAGGTGCTTCTTATGGGGCTGCAACAGAACCCACCACACAACAAATAATAATTTGATATAGCAAAAAGTATAACTACCAAAATTCTACCTCTCTAATGTAATAAAATGCTGTATGTCTTCTAACCAATTTAAATGGAAGCAAAGAAACACAATGTAAGAATTTATTACCTGCTTTACCAAGAAGTGGCATTATAAAAAATACAAATACTGTACTTATTATTATTATAACTAATCACTAATCTGATCCTCTATATTTTAATAAAATTATTATTATTACTACTACTACTTGTTAAGGTGCTATAATATAGCTCAGTTTTAAATCATTTTTCACGTAATGCCATACTAATAAATAGAACTCACCCTTGTTAATCTGTCTGTTGCATGTGATGTGCATGTAATCGTTGGGTGGGTTGACGGGTCTAAAGGCATTGTTTTCTTTATCACAAGACCTATAAATTGTCTGGTTCCTTGTATATTTTCTGGGATGATTGGGCGAGGTCTCCAGATTTGAAGGCGCTTTCCAAGATGCAGATAACTCTTGTTTTGACGAAGTCAGTGGTGGCATTACATAGTTGTCAAGTTCCATTGGTTCCTCAAGGTTAGAGTTTGAGGTGTCTACCACTAGGGAATCATGGCAGCAGAAAGCTCCATTTTCTCCAGCCTCATTGTGGGTCAGGAATTTTTCTCTGGAGAATTCCTCATAGGTTTTTTGTTCATTTCTATATTCTGCACTGTTGGCTCTGCCCAAGTTGTGTGTGTTACAGAGAGGTAATTCCTGAAGTGTGTTCTTATTTCCTTCATTTGAGGCACCATGGTCGAGATACCTGGAGCAAGATTCAGTGTAATCATAAACTGCTACTGATGTAGTAGGGAGCACTTTCTCCTCCTTAACACTCATCAGTGAATGCTCAGAAGTCTGACGTTTTAGCAGAGTCTTTGTCACATCTCTATTGACCAATTCATGACAGCTCTTCCATCTCACAGTTTGCAAATCTGGTTTCTTGTTACTATAAAATGAATGTCTGCTTGTAGAGTAGCCTTTCAGTGGGACATCTGAGGATACAGCATCTGTCTCAATGGTGGATTCTGTATCGGAGAACTTCCTAGGCGGGGATGTGGTCAGTCCATTTTCATAGTCACTGCAGTAACTCTCCATATCATCCTGCTCAGAATCCTGAAACTTAGTGACATTAGTTCCTGAAATTAGGTTATGTTTCAATGTCTGATTTATCATCTATTTGAATGTCATATAAATACCATAATTATATTAGTAAGTATGGTAGTAAACTACCAGTTCTCGCTACACTGGAGTTCATAAATCAAACTGCTTAAAGCTGTGTGAATGAATGAATGATCAACAGCAATAAGTTATCAGATAAATGTTAAAGTCTACTTAAGTATGTTGTTTAATGGTAAAATACTTTAAATTTATTAAATTAAAATTTTTAGATCACCTCCATGAGACTGACTGAAGATCTAATGGCTTTGCCCTAAAAGAAAGAACATAATAGGCAAGACTAAGAACATGCCAAATTTAACAGTCAAAGGATGTTGGCGATGCTCGAGAGGCTAGTTCCGATTGATGGCTGGAAAAGCCCACTAAAGTACCCTAAAACAGAGCAGCTTCCCCGTGCTGGGGAAGGAAGGCATTTTGACGACTGTCACCAAGTTGGTGGAGGCCAAAACAGTCAGTACTTTCAAAGCATTATATGACAGTGCTGGGAAGATGGGACACCATGAATGTAGCTCTCATCCTGAAATTACATTTCGGTAATTACTTGAGATCTCAAGTTCTCTTATCCTTAGAGCAGAGGATATCGGGATGTACCTTACACATCAAACGTAAAGTATAAGTATAAACAGAGCGGGTATAAACAATAGACTCGATAACAATATACAAGATAAACCAACTGTGCTGCCCAAGAAGTCATTACAGCATGTAATTCACTGCTATCCTTTCCACTTAATGGTACATGAAATATTAAAAGAAGACTAACTCCAAGATGATATTGTTGACTCCCCCCACACCATGTGCAAAAGAGAAGAGTAAAGCATGTGCCTGTTCTACGAGGGATGCAAATCTAGTTTACTAGTCGGAACTTGCAAATTTTGGGTAGTGTATGAGAATATCTTCTAATATTCATGAATGAATGAAATGATTACGAAGTTCTAGGCATCTCATGCCATTTGATCTCTAGATCAAATGGCACAAATCCAGAAACATTTGGGCATTCGCTAATATGGTGTTAAGAGTGTGTCCTATCACCATTCTACACCTAGTTAGCTGCCACACATGCCCATGCTCTCCCCTCTTCACTTCGTTATGAAGCATAGCAGAGATGAGTGGACATTCCCTAGTCTCATCACTCCCGACCAGTGGTTAGGTTAGGTTAGGTTACTGGTACTGGCATGTACCAGTATTTGTGAATCCAAAACCAAAGCTTCTTGTGCTTGTTAAAGTTTAATTAGTTCTCAAAACCTCAAAAGTCAGGGTCACTAGGTCAAATTTTTAGAGTAAAATTACAAAAACACTACTTACCTTGACGACTGTGTTAAGGCAATCTATGATACCGAAGTTATTGCACTGGTAAGTCAACAGAGAGTCAAAGTTGAGATTAAAGTCACAGTCATCATTTTTGTTGCTATTCTCATCTCTGTTACAATCTGGCTTGTCTGAAATAATACAGAAGTGGACATTGGTACAGATCTTTTGAATATTGAAAAAATAGAAAATAAGGGAGAGAACGGAAGGAAATGTTACATCAGTTTCTACATTATGTATATTGTTCACAGCCAATACCAATTAGTTTTTGCTACATTCTTCACCAATTTACTTCTTGGCCATTGTCTTTGTTGAAAGTGCTACTTGTACTGTCTTTTGTAATTAATGTAGTAATCCTACACAATCATCCACTACCCATTTTTTTTTATCAATGATCTCCACCCTATCAACGCCCTACTCCAGCTGTCAGGACGCCACGCCTGACAGCTGAGTGGACAGCTTAAGATTCGTAGTCCTGAGGTTCCAGGTTCGATCTCTGGTGGAGGTGGAGACAAATGAGCTAAAAGTTTCTTTCACTCTGATGTGTCTGTTCACCTAACAGTAAATAGGTACCTGGGAGTTAGACAGCTGCTACGGGCTGCTTCCTGGGGGTGTGTAACAAAAAGGAGGCCTGGTCGAGGACCAGGCCGCGGGGATGCTAAACCATGAAATCATTTCAAGATAACCTCAAGAAGATCCACTGTACCTCACACATATGCAGAGGGCTTTAATTTTGCACTCTACTTCAATATTCTTTCCCATTTACTGCCTTTAGTTCCACTAACCTTGGTTGTATTCTATTCTGATCTCTATTTCATCCTGCTGTTCAGTATTAATCTTAAAAGGTTTCACCTGAAATCAAAAATGTTCTCTGTCATGTACTACTTGACAAAGCTTGCATTTATCATTCATTGCTTGCTGATAGCACTTGAGACATTCATGTTGTTTAAATTGTAACATGTCTCTAATACCGCATGCTTCTACAATATCATCATCTCCCAAAAACTTTAAATCACATTCAGATTTACTTGGTTTCTGATAATCATTTCCTTAAATTTTGTAGAGTTGACGCATCAGTTGTTAATGTTTTTCTTACATATTGGACAATTCTGCTCTGTCCATATAATGAAAAGTACAGTACTATATACCATATACACTAAGCTAAGACTTACCAATTTAATCAACCTTCAAGTACAGTATCTTCTTAAACCAATCTTTCTTCTAGAGCTTCATGGATCACAATTCTCACGAACAAGAACTAGTTGGTACTTAATTTTTGTATTTTAGTAATCCTGTAATCTTTCAAGTTTTTACCGACTTGTTCAATCTTCACAAATATTTTAAATACTCACCTATCAAAATACTTACAAACATTTCCTAAACATGATAGTATTTGGCTTGGTTATATTCAGTTAAAATACTGTACATGCAATCTTGTATTGTATGAGGACACAATACTCAGGATAGACAATGGAAAACCTACTAGGCTATACATCTACTGGGGGAAAGTATAAAGACTACATTCATAATGACAGTAGAGAAAGGCAAATGATGAGGCACACAGTGAGAGGAAGGCATAGCTATAGATTATAGTTGGAGACACTAGGAGGGCTGGTGACAAGTTACTGGAGACCCGAGATTCAAAAACCAGGAACAAGTTAGTGGAAGAATTATGCAAGGCAATGTTCTGCACTAAACAAGCTGGAGCTAAGGCCACAAACATGTTGCAACAGTAAATGAAAAGATAGAAGCACTGGTCAAAGATCAAATTTAGTTACAGGTCCACCCTTTTGATGCAAGCAAGAGCAAAATATGTAGTTTTCTTGTATTAGAAAAAAATTTGGAAGCTTTCATATGTGATCTTCACTACTATACATTTCTCACCCTCAGAAGCAAGCTGATGGTGGATGTCTTGTTCTTTGGCATCTTCGTGGTTCTTGCTGCTCCATGCTTCTCCATGCATGTTCCTATTGGGGACATCAGCAGTTTTATCAACAACATTAACATCTCTGTTAGCATCATCATTCTTGCCTCCGTCAGTAGCCAAGTTCAGACTGCAAAAAGAATAACTTTGCACCTACACTAAATAAAATGCTTAAATTTTAAGACAAATTGTTTACATAATTAGATTCAATAAATATTTAATCGAGTAAATTAGATTCAACAAGATTACAAATGTTGTAAGTTAGCAAGTTAGAGTTAACTGCCTGCAGATATTTACATTAACTCCACAAGTGGTCAGAAGACTGGGAAATGCATTTCAGTATTGAACAATCTTGCATGTAGGGCATATCAGCACGCATAACTACCACAACACAACCATGCAACAGATAGACGAATGACATAAAAGTTGCTCAAGTAGAAGTTGCAGTTATCTTATATAAATATACAAAAAAAAAAAAGTAAAAAAGGCCAATCAAACCATACCAAACCACACGAATAAACAACAAAACCTTTGGTTTATGATCCAAACTAATCCTGACTCCCAGATCTATTTTTGCTCTCAGGTTTCACAATCTCAACATTGTCCACCTAATATCTGGTAACTATTGTTATTACCCAAGCGTACAATCCTACATGTTTCAGCATTAAACCGCATTTGCCATTCTTTCATCCATTTAAAAGCTTATCACGATTGTCTTGTAGTAATGTGTGTCCTGAATTTATTTTCCACCCTGTTTTATAGTAAATTTGTAAATGTTTCTGTTCAATCCTGCATCTAAATCATTTATACGTACATGATAAACAACAGAGATCCCAGGATACAGCCCTAGAGCACTGGAACCGTTTCCCACTTTGACTAACTTCATTTATGCTAACAATGCTTTCTTCGAAATAACTAACCCCCTCATCCAACTTAGGATAGCCCTACTATACAATGTGCCTTTCAAATTACTTTACCATTGTAATCATTGCTATCACCTTATATCATGGTTGTTAAATTGAATGCATATTTTACTGCATTATGCCTTGAAATAATCCTCAAATTATGTTACAACATACCTGTTGATAACTCAAATTTTATTTTACTTTAATGTACCTACTAATCTTTGTCAAAATTTTCTTACAATGTACCTGTAAACTTTTTTTCAATTTTCCTAGAATTTACCTACTTAAAATTATCCGTTAGATTAGATTAAGGACCTGCCCAAAATGCTATGCGTGCTAGTGGTTTTACAAGGATGTAAAAATATCAATGCTATGTACTCTCAAACCCAAACTTCTTGCATATAAATAAATAACTTATTATACATCTCAAAAGGCACATTATCATAAGCTTTATAAAATTCAAGATATAGAATGTCTATTCTTTCTGCTATTGATTGCTTCAAAGAAACCAGAAAATCCAACTTCTTCACAGAAACTAGAAAATCTACCGATTCAAAGATACCGAAAAATCGACTGTAACTAACTTAAGACTAACTTGCTTAGTTAAATTAATTTCAGAGTTCAGACCCTGAGCCCATTATGTGCCTAACCCTTTCCACTATCCCCACAAGATTGGTATGGGGTAAATAATAAATGAACTAAGCATCATCCAAACTATAAATCTTTCAACTTCTGGTACATAATGATTATAAAGGCCTTTTGGAACATTACTTTTCTATTGCTGGTCCATTTCATTCAGAGATTGTGTATACTGTATATACAAGAGCCAAAAATATTAATTTCATTCTGCTGCTCTTGCTAATGTTGAAGGAGATTGAGTAGGATATCGAGAACAAACTCAACACTTGGAAAACGTCTTACCTGACAGGAGACCTAGAATTGACTCTTGAAGGAGAGGGTGAAGGTGAACGTAGGGTGAGGTGGAATGTGTAGTGATACGGCGTCTGATACGGTTCATGCTCCAGCATTGAGGACTGTCTTCTTCCTCGATGTCTATATAATGATTCCCAGGTGGTGTGGTGCTTGTGGCACCGGTGGCAGGCTGATAGACTTGAGGAAGACTGACTCCTGTAACCGAGAGACGATTGTTGCTGGACGTGTGACCGAGTATTTTGGTGACAGGAGTCCGAGGAGCGTCTGGGTATGGTGTCGTGGGTAGTCCTCCAGTTTGCTGCTGGGAGCCCTAGTCGTCGTGGCGAAGGTGGCGAGGAGTGGGGTAAGCGGCTGGGGTGGTGTCGTGATAATGGCGAATCGTAATGGTTTTTGTCAGACAGTAGGTTAAGGCTCTTGGAACGGTAGATGTGAGAGCTCAATTCCCTTCCCAAACTGCTCGAGTTCTTGCTCAGATGGACCGATCTGTCGAGGTAACTTGCAGTCATTAATACACACAATATGAACTCTACCACTTCAGCTCTCAACTTTATGTGAATGTTAACGTAAGCCGAGTATTAAGTCTCCATAATTATAATGTGTTGTTATAGCTTGTGTATTATGCTTGTACCTGCACGAATATACTTTTAACGTGCTTAAAAAAAAGTGCTGCCAAATGCCTCAATATAGAATTTTTCGCGATATAGAATTTGTAAATTTCTCAAAATACTCCAAGCATGGGACCCCGACACTCCATCTGCACGCAAGCTGGGTCCTCTGCGGCAACCTTCGTATCAACTGGTATAGGTATTATCAGATCAGTGATCGGCTTCATTAGGGGTACTATAGAACCGAGATTGAAAACTATTACATCACCCTAATGATCGAGAACAATTAAGACCTTAATATGACAAGCATTACTGAACAGAACATGTTCCCCATATGCAGTGAGGAACGAGAACCCGTAGATGATTATGTATACTCCTGCAAGCCCTGCAACATCCAAGCATCGCATTGTAGCCCCCACACACACTGTCGCTACAACCTCGACAAAGTCATTGTTTGCCGTTGGTGGCGTCTAAAGCCACGTGTTTTTCCCAGGCGACAGCACTCCAGTCCTGCATCTGACATGTCTATACATGGGTCCTTAGAGTATTAAAACCACGTCAAAGAAACATTAACTCTACTCTGGCATGTTCCCTGTTAACTTCTTGTCACTTAAGGATTTTTTCCATCTTTAACTGGTCCAAAAACAAATAAAGAGCGACACCAAATGTGCCCGCAGAGAGTCCTTTGACTTTTTAAACTGCAATTAAGTATTTATTATTACTCCTATTGTAAATTACTAAATATCTACTGATAACTTTCCTGCAACAATCTTCAACAACCCCTCTCAAGAAGAGACTTGCCTGACGGGAATCCTAGAGCCCTTGAAGCCTGGATGGTGGGAGAGCGTGGCGAGGGAGCCGTTGCTGCTCCCGTGGGCGTGGGTCTCCGGCAGGTGCAGCCAGGAGCAGCAGCTGATCATGGGGACAACCCGCTCCTTACTGCGTAGGAAGGTAATGATACACACACTCCTGTTACATTAGGTTTTTAGTGTTTTAGATTCAGCTATTCAGACCAAAACGTTTTAAGTAGCAAGGGTTGTGGTGAGCCCGTAGAGGACTTGCCTGGCACAGGAGCGGGGCTGTGACGGTTTTTAGTGCTATTAGTCTTATTATAGTGAACCTGGGTCAAGAACATATAATAATCAAGAGGCCCTAACAATAAAAAAAATTGATGAAGATTAAACCACCCGTGCCATCTCTTGGGTGGCTTAATCTTCATCAATCAACAAAATGAGCTCTCACTCCTTTCGTTTGGGCTCTTGATGTCAAAGTACTCTTGATTTAAGTTAAATTATGTAAGTAGCTCATCAGGGTGGGTATGAGGTGGATAACTAAACTAAGACATTATTGTTATTACTCCAATTAATAATCAATTTTTATTACCCATACAATTATCAACATTAATATTACTACTACTACCTAATACTGTTAGATTAACTCAGATACTCAGATGTTACGAATTTGGTATTCTATGCTGAAAACATTCTTTACTAACACTTTAACACTTTTGAAAGTGTTAGACATGATGCACATGCATAAACGTGGGACCAAATTCCTGGAACACACTGTTTATAGTGTAAAATTCCATTAGCACGAGCACATGGTATAAATGGATAACCAGCTTAGAAACAGGTGACATCCCTCAGACACTTAACGAATTGGTCTAATAATTATACATCGAGAACTCTAAGAGATTATAAGGACCAACGGATGCACTTTCGTCCACGGGAGACATCTCCCGTCAAGCAGGGTGCAGTCGCACCTCCACAGATCTCCAGCATCAGCTCTTGATACTGGTAATGGTTCAAAAATGCCACCACTTACGGGCTATTCATGCCCGTACCACCTTTTGGGTGGCTTAATCTTCATCAATCAATCACTTGCGTCACTGTTTGTGGTACTGACTAACCTTGGGACAGTCGTGGGCAGAAATGAAGGCTTCGAAATAGGTGAAGTGGGTGACACAACGAGAAGGGGCGTGGTGTGGGCGTGGAGGGCGGTATGGGTGGAAGCAGTTTGTCTTCTCTCGTCTCTGATACCCATCTGAGGACAAAGGAGGCTTGCGGAAAAAAACAAAGACGATCAAAACACAAATTCAGGATACACGATTAGTTTCCACATCTCGTACCACCGTGAAGTGCACAAAATCAAAGCTACCATCATGTACTTCAGAACGTCTCTATCCGTGTGGAAGAATGTAAGAACAATGTTATGCACTCTAACCCAATGTACCTAATTGTGAATAAATAAATAAAGTTGTTGCTGTCTAAATCGTGTGATTTACACCATCGTTTAGTGAGGCTCGGAATGAGAGGGGAAACCCTGGTCCAATGAAGTGAGCATCAGTTGTAGCTGTAATGCTCAGTTGATTACATTTATAGCATCAAATCGAGCTAGATTTTAGGCTTCATCACATTGTAAGACACCATTTCGCTGTAGAATATTCTGCAGCTTTAACATTAAAGATATTCAGCGCAAGACTGTTCTTGTGACCTGCTTTTAACAGTCATACCACACACCTATATATATTCGGCAGTTGTTTTAACAATGCAGTTTCTGCAAGGTTAATGCAGGGAATGGATCGATTGCTTTTCTTGTTAAAATGTATGTTTGGCATCTTAACGATATCACGCGCTTAATACACAGTGCCCAAACACACACACTGTTTTCAATTATTATCGAAAGACGTACTGTGGGTAGTGCACACAGTAGGAGCCGTACTAAAATTAAAATGTTAACTAGATTTTCAATGTTATAAAGAGTAGTTGACTATCAACACGAGAGGTGTGACAACCAATGCCAACTTGACCTCAGTTGCCTGCCAATTGATTCAGATGGGCACCACAAAACCTACGATATCACCCCAATACCATATAACAGTCACCCCCAATACTATACCAAAGAAGTATGTTGCTGTCCACGAGCAACAGCTCTAAAGTAAGTTCAACTTTGATGTGACTGTAAATATTGAGCACACGAGTCAGCGACTCACCATGCACAGACAGCACATGGATGGCACGAAGCCAGTAGACGGCTTGTTTGGACACGCCTTCATAAGCGAGGCTAAACTGCTCTCCAGTTCATAGCAGTTTAAGCTCGCGCGTCTCGTCACGTCAGAGGAGACATGAGCAATAAATCGTCATCATCTGTGTCCCATCTATACTGTAAACTATACATTAAGCTTTTATATGTAAGCATGCAACTGCACACATGCATGCGGGAGTTCATATTCCAGCAAAATTGTTCCAAACTGGCCCTGAACTGCCGGCCCATCAATAACATCCCACCCTACCCCCTTCAAGCCTCGCCCCTGACAACAATTTATTGGTGACGACCCAAAATAATTTTGGGCTACAGGTGACCCTCGACCCCATCACCGTCCTCGTATCTCCCGCTCTCTTGACAGGCTACAACCCATGCTTTATGCATCTAATACACAATTGCAGATTTGAAAGAAAATGAACTGTAATGTATTTCTTATTTCCTGTACAATGCGTTTGTTTCACGTCTCTTATGCAAGTTGCATATACAAACCAAGTGAATATAGGTAAACATTTTAGCCACTTTTTTAACATGGCAATGTAACCGAATGAGAAAGAATGCAACAATTTATAGAAAGCTATTATTTATCGATTTTAAAAACCATTTAACAAATCGGGCATTCCGAATTAATGTTGCCGCCAGGGGCGATTAGTATATTGTGCGTCCCATACCTGCACACTCTGATTAGGGGCTATTCATGCCCGTGCAACCTCTTGGGTGACAATCTCCATCACTCAATTAATCAATCACGCTCTGAGTGGCGGCGCCGAGTGCTTACACAAGAAAGCACACAGATCCTAGACGAATTTGTTTAAAGTTACATTTTACACCATTTATCTACCCACCTAATATTTAACTGTAATGGTAACTAGATGCCCAAACGCTTTGGGTATTAGTGGCTTCATTTGTATGTGTAACCCCCCTGTCCCTACAATTGTCCCCCTAGTCTTGTTCACTGTGTACACATTCTTGTGAATAAAATTATGATTATGACTTGACAGCACACTGTGTGTCACTGTAGATACACGCATGGAGGCGCCCCTGGGTTAATTTGCGCACTACAATGGCTAATAAAATCTTAATCAGTATCCAGCTTAATTAATTAATAATGAAAGTCTAACCCATCCCCCCAATCACTATCCTCTCACCCCCGAAGTCTGCTGGATATGCCAACGAGATAACATCGATTCTAGGGTGATCATAAAGATCATTAACAATGTGCATGATAAAAATGCTTGTTGGTAAGGACTAACAACAATGAACAACTCTAATTTTATTTCCCACACACACACCTTACAGTACACAATGGCAACGGGCACTACTCTCAGGTTCTGGCAACAGGTCCTGGCACTGGCGCCAGTCTTCGGGCGACATCTACACCAGAGGCTCCTAAAGTGAACAGGAGACTCTTATGACCTATAAATGTGGGACTCCACAGGTTATTAATATGGTATTTCCCCATCATTCCTGCCTCTTCAAATGTGATCATCGCGTGACATCCCCTCCCCACTCACATACATCCACCCACCCTCTCTCTCTCTCACACATAACCCCCTCCCCCCATCTTTTCTCTCACACACTACCCCTCCCCCTACATTCTCGGGTGCTTGGAGGAGACTTAATTAAACTCCTTACCTGATATCGTATCGGGATTACGGAGAGGAAAGGGGGGGGGGGGGTTCTGGAGGGCTAACTCCTCCTTTTACTGAAAATTACTTTTTTTTAACGTTATCGACCCGAAGGTAAAGAATTGTGATGGTTTAGGGAAATTAAAACCACCGCAATACTGACTTTTCCTGGGTCTAGTGAGTCCCAGGAGGCGTCTTTGCCTTGTATATCTTAGCGAAGATGTCTTGAGGCTACAGACTCCTTATGTAGAACTCTTGATAAATTATCTAGCTGTAAATAAGGAGTTAGCAGTCTTCGTGAACCCTCAAGAGGTTTTCCCTAAGCCGAGGCAAAGGTGGAAAAGATGATGACGATGTTGTTGTTGTTAAAGATTTAGCTACTCAGGACGAAGTGTCTATGTAGCACGGGCTATGGTGAGCCCGTAATGGAAAAGAATAATAACCATTTTCTATACTTTAGAGACACAAATATGCAGAAAAATAACACTACCCAGGGGAAAATATTGTGTTACAAGTTTTATCATAATTTTGCGTCATCAGAAAACATTGAGATAAAAAGTATTGATAATGCGTGATCATTTACAAATCGGAAAACATAAGAAAATCTTGACATTCTTGAGTCTTCTCTCATTGATTGATTTATGCTGAGAAGACATATTCCATTACTGAATGGAACCCTTTCCATATCACTCCTGCACGCTTCACTATTCTTACACTGTTCTCATGTGAGGTAGTATGTCTACAACATGCCGTCTGTCTAGCCTACTTATGTAAAGGAGCAAATGTATATGTATCTCTCAGAATGTTTGGTAATATGTTTATTGTTTGTGATGTGTGTCTATGTATGTATTAACACAATGTACTGAACGGGGTGAGAATAGCTTGAGCTACCTCATCCCTTTGTGTGTATTTTACCTCAATAAACTTATTTCAATTTCTGTCTACCCACTGCGGTCTTGTGGGATCTAAGACTCCCAGTTAAATAATTATATAAATCTTGTAAATACAAGCTTTTCAGTCCCTAAACCTATGGTTGTCTAGCGTTATTATTCTCTCCACATGTTCTACTCGCCTGTGATTGCTAGTAAAGAAGAAACAGGTCGTCTCAGGCGGGGTCAAATGAAGGGAAGGAGGAATACACCTCCCCCTCCCCCCCTCCATCACTCAGATGACCTCTCCGGTAACACCTAATTACAGAGAACCACCTCCAACACGCCCCGTCACTCTCGCCTCTACCACAATCCCCCATCAACTCCCAGATTCATAGTTTTTTCCGCTGTATTCTTTCCTGTTATATCAAGGCAAATGGGGGGAGTGGGGGATGCTTTGACAAGCCGCCGGTTTCCTATCCTCGTCTAAATTCAGGTAATATACGGCCTATCTCCTAGTGTAATCCCCTTAGCTACCTTTAAGAATTTCCTTCAGTTCATCCCTTCCCCCGGTCCCAGTCCAACCACTTGGGCTGGACGGTAGAGCGACGGTCTCGCTTCATGCAGGTTGGCGTTCAATCCCCGACCGTCCAAGTGGTTGGGCACCATTCCTGTCCCCCGTCAAATCGCAAATCCTTATCCTGACCCCTTCCAAGTGCTTTATAGACGTAATGGCTTGGCGCTTTCCTTTCATAATTCCTTCCTTCCTTCCCCCGGTCCCGCACTATATATCATTCACTCTCCCATTCCACCCCCGTCTCCTCCCATCCTCCGCCATTTACTCTTTAGTTTCATTCCTGGAGGATTTCCCTGGAACCTTTATAATCTTCTTTCCTTTCATCACCAAAAGAACGCGCCTCCGCGTTCCGTCATTTTCATCCCCCGTATTCCCGCCAACCTTCCCAGTGTTCTGTATAGCCAGTCTCATCCCTCCACACCCTCGCCTACTCCTTTCTTCACACCATTTTGCCATCAAAATCCAACTCCCCCTTCCCACCCCAACTTTTTCAATAGCCCTTTCACAGCCTGGTCCATTCCCCTCACCCCCTCTCTCTCTCTCCCCCCTCAGCCCCCCCAACCTCATCTCCCTGCCCGGCAGAGTGCGTGTCAAGCCTCCCGCCTGGAATTACGAGCAGTAAGTAACCTGCTTCACTCTTTATTAATTCACTTTTTCAGGAAAACGCGCCCCCTGGGTCAAGAAGCAAGGAGGATACGGCGCCTCAATACTCTTACTACCTCCGGGGGGACAAAACTCCCCCAGAAACACCTTCCTCCCCCATGGCAACACGGTCATCCCAGGCCAATTCATCAACGCTACACGCCTCGTGTAAATTTATCTCCGGGGGGGCTCGTGCCGTAGGATTGGACGTCATTCAGCAGGGAAATGTGTTTAGGGGCGTGGTCGCTATGGCAACCTGCCAAGCGGGGCCACCCGATGCCCATGTCCAGCTCCCACGTGTCTGTTAAGGTGCTAACTGCCGCCCTCAGCCCACCACTGATGGCGGAACCGTCTCCCATGCCCCACTCGCTAATGGATAAAGATACTGATATGCCTCCCGCCACATTCACTAATCGATAAACATTTAATTATACATTACTCACTGTTGGATAACGCCAGGGATGGTATACTAATGGATAAAGCTACAGGTATGCTATACTAATGAATAAAGCTACTGATATGCTATACTAATGAATAAAGCTACTGATATGCTATACTAATGGATAAAGCTACTGATATGCTATACTAATGGATAAAGCTACTGATATGCTATACTAATGGATAAAGCTACTGATATGCTATACTAATGGATAAAGCTACTGATATGCTATACTAATGGATAAAGCTACAGGTATGCTATACTAATGGATAAAGCTACTGGTATGCTATACTAATGGATAAAGCTACTGATATGCTATACTAATGGATAAAGCTACTGATATGCTATACTAATGGATAAAGCTACTGATATGCTATACTAATGGATAAAGCTACTGATATGCTATACTAATGGATAAAGCTACTGATATGCCACACTCACTAATGGACGACCTGTGGTATGCCACACTGATATGCCCCATTCACTAATGGATAAAGGTATTAGGTTCCATATATGCCTTTCGACACTCATTATCCTTTACCAAAAAAGAATCATGACTTTTTTTTTACCCATTACCAGGATTGGCGTGGTAGCTACCCACTTACCCCTCCGGCCCGGGTGTTTTCGTGAAAAAAAAAAAAAAAAATACCAACCCTCTCCAGTGCCCAAAAAATCAGGAGCGGCGGCAACCCCCAACAGCCTGAGCAATCAATTCCCTTTGTACATATTCAAAAGGCTAGAGCCACAGGGCGGGGGTGGAGGTGGTAGTGCTGCTGTTGAAGGGCATTGGAAGGTTTGCTAGGAACGCCAAGACATTCATGCTGGCTTTATATGTAATTTTATTTTTTTCTGCGCTTTACAGTCGTAATGGTTTGGCGTTTTCTCTTTATAATTCCTTCCATTATTCCCCCCTCTCACTTCACCCCCTATAATAATAATAATAATAATAATAATAATAATAATAATAATAATAATAATAATAATAATAATAATAATAAAGAATAATTCATTGTGTCGAGGAAGCTAGAATGAATTTATATATGTTAGGCTAATATCGAGGGGCGCCCCAACCCCAAGATTGAATTACTGACCCCGCCCTGGATGCAACTCCACAACAAGCTCACTCACTCCTGAGTACCTACTTACTGCTAGGTAAACAGGTGCAGTAGATGAAAGGAAATGTGCCCAACCATTTCTGTCCCGCCCATTCGAATTCAAACTCGGAATATTATAGATTATATTATATTTATATCCTCAACTTCCTCTCTCCTTCATGCACCCCCAGCTCTCTCTCTCTCACCTCTCCAGCAATCACTTCTCCAAAGATTGATAGCCTGAGAAACTACGACTTAAGACACCCGAAGCTGTCTAAATGAATACAAGTCACATCGTATACAAGACGAATCGCCAACGGATTTTTCAAGCCTACTTAACCTAGCTCAACCAAACCAAACCCAACCCAACCTCAATCTAACCCAACAGAGCGAAACACAGCCTAACCTAAGCTAATACATCCTAGCCTAGCAATATATAAGGCTTAAACAAACTGAAAACGAGCTTCGTCGAATCGTCTCTTGTTCGAAACGACCATCTACCGTCTAAATACTGAACGAAAGAAAAAAAAAACGATTCGTTCATAATTTTAACAAAAGGATAAAATTACATTCTAGGTTTAAACATTTATTTTACAACGTCAGTATTGTCTAATTCAATTACTTTTCATAGTGGAAAATTTTGAATGGGTGAATCAATCATAGCAGCCTAGTATACTGTCGCAGTATACTTAAGCAATGTGATATATTCGTGGTGATATGGTAATGAAGATCAAACTTACCAATCAAGATATGATAAGTTTCAGGTATCGCACTTTTTTTTACAAATAATACTTAGTTTATGGGTTAAATTGTTTAATAGTGATAGTTATGCAAGCATTATCTCAACAAAGCCACATCTTAGAGAACTAGCATCATCTAGAAGATAGTAACCCTAATGCCCGTGTCCGGAAATCGAATTCAGTAATATGTCAATATACCGTGGATTAACGGCATTTTATAAATTATGAATTATAAATTCATGTATGTTATGGATAGGCCAACCCATCCTCGGACCAAGTCCATTCTATCCAGCGGTCGACCCCAAAGACGCATTCATCAATTTTAATATTCTGTCCATTCAAAACAGAACTTCTCAAATATAAATTGATAATGATAATATTCGCGAATGGATTTTTGAAACCTACTTAACCTAGTTCAACCAAACCAAAGCTAACCCAACAGAGCGAAATACAGCCTAACCTAAGCTAATACATCCTAGCCTAGCAGTACATTGTATTCATAATAATATTATATTAGCATATTTAGATACTGGTTAAGTTAGATGTTTTGGTTCTGTTGGCGATTATTTGTAGTACGTGGGTGAAGCATTGTCACGATCGAACAAAAGTCGCCATGCAGTTTGAGGACGGGTTAGGGCCGCTTCTACACTAACAACCATTTGAACAATGTTTCAGCGATTGGGCTATTTCCGTAATGGCGTTTGAACGACCGAAGATTCTGACATCTGAATCTTTCTTCTGCGTTCTCGCCTCACTCTTGTATGAATAAAAATTACTCACCCCTATAGTGTCCTTATTGCATTAACTGTATTAAAACTATTATTGTATTGCTACATCATTATAGCTAGAATGAATAGTTACCAAAAAAGGCGAAAGCTAACTTAGAATTACAATGTATAATAGACCTGATATATTAGGCTACACAATTTCAAGAGATTAGAACTTAACCTCTCGTGTGGATAAAATATATCAATTATGTTCAACTTTAACAACATACCTCTAAAGTTAAAGTGTTCTTATCATTCACGCTTGTCAACAATGTAAAGAGAGCTCACGGCAGAAGAGATGTTTGGACGCTGGCAGGAGATGAGGATGCTCAGGCAGCAGACGAAACTGGAGCAGGAAGCAGTTGCAGCAAAAACTGTCTGAAGCAGGACGCAATTGCAACAAACTGTCTGGAGCAGGACGCAGCAGAACTATCTCGAGCAGGATGTAGCAGAACGGAGCAGAAGCAAAAGAAACAACCCGATTCAAGATGCGGTAGCAGCCTCCCCTAAGACTAGCATCAGCAGCTAAAGATCTAGCTGTTCCCCCGAAGCAAAATGAGGAGGTGTGGGAGGCGGCGCCCTACCCGTACGGCCGCTTGGAATGAACTGAGACCAGATTCCAGAGAGCAGCTCCCCTAGTCTTCCCTCACACCCCCCCCCCCCCCCCCACCTCACTGCCCAATCACCCAATCAGCCTGTGCAAACTATAATTTCTACACCCGTTTGCTTGTCTATGCAGGATATTATAAACCTTAATGCCGTCTCCAGTCTTATCTTGGAGTTCAAGTATGTTTATTGAGATGAGAAAGAAATACATCTCAAAGGGATAGAGTAGCTTAGGCTATCTGGAGTCTATATCTTGGAGTCTTATAGTCTTCTCTTGCTAAATTTTTTAACTAGCCCCTGGTTAAAAGTCTCTATAATCTCTTATCTCTTTTCAAGAAGACCAGACATAATAAATCAGGCAGGAAACACGATAGATTACAGAATAATTAATAAAATCCACAATATAGATAATAGCTATAAGTTTAAAAAGATAAATGTCTGCGCCAGGCAATCCGGGTCGTTGACGAATGCATGGCGGCATTATTGAGACCCAGTGTGTGTAAAATCCAACCCGTCCTCGACTCAAGTCCATTCCATCCAGCGGTCGACCCCACAGACGCATTCATAAATTTTTATATGCTGTTCAAAACAGGAATTTTCTCAAATATAAATTTATATTTTAATATATTAGCATATTGTGCATATATAGGCATAGGATAGGTTAGGTGTTTAGGTTCTGTTGGCGATTATTTGTATTTGTAGTACATGGGTGAAGCATTTATAGCGTTGTGATTCGAACAAAATTTGTCAGTGAAGCACTTGTTCCGGATATGTTCGAACGTCAGCAGTTGTGAGTCGTGTGTAAACCGCTTTTCATTCATAAACAGGGGGTTTGGCGGGTGCATGGAATCACTTTTGGATCTTTGTTTGGAGGACGGGCTGTTGTATTTGTAGTACGTGGGTGAAGCATTTATGGCGTTGTGGTTCGAACAAAAGTCGTCAGTGAAGCACTTGTTCCCGAAGTGTTCGAACGTCATCAGTTGTGAGTCGTGTGTAAATCGTTTTTCATTCATAAACAGGGTGTTTGGCGGGTGCATGGAATCAATTTTGGGTCTTTGTTTGGAGGACGGGCTGCGTGTGTAAACCCTTTTTCATTCATAAACAGGGGGTTTGGCGGGTGCATAGAATGGACTTTGGCCTTTGTTTATGAGTACGGGCTGTAGGCAGAGGTATTCAGACGTCTGTTCAAGGTTGAACCAGGAGTCACAGTCTCATATGTTTGGTGTACATGTCGAAGTAGCATTCTCTAGAAATAGTTGTTTAGCCTGCAAAACCTTCAATATAAAAATCTGTCCATCCGTTTTCTATGCCTCTTAGTAAAGTCAGACACTTGTCAAAGCATTATTATTATTATTATTGTAGAGTACTACACCCTCCTTCATTCTAGTAGAGAATGAGTATTACACCCTCCTTCATCCTTGTAGAGCACTACACGCTCCCTCACTCTACCATTATAGCAATTCTATATATATATTTTTTCCAATTAACGTGGTCACGTGCATCTACCTACCCTATGTAAAGTCTTCAGACATGTTTTCGTTTCATTGCCTTCCAATGGAGACAGACATCCTGATGGCTGTTCTTGTTCCAGTATCTCCCAATAGGGAGCATTCTGATGGGTATTGCCGTTCCAGTGCCTCCTGGTGGATATTAAGATCCCATCACCTAATGGGGATATCCTGATGGATGGTGTAGTTTCAGCCCCTCTCATTAGGGGGGGAGGTATTCTGATGGGTATTGTCGTTCCAGCACCTCCTGTGGGAATATCCTGATGAGTACCTCCGTTTCAACAGCTCCTGATGGGGGATATTCTGATGGATATTTCTCCCTCGCTTCTGACTACAATTATCCCTCCTGAGGTTAGGCAGTATTCATTAATATGGAATAATATGTAAACAATATCTTGACTGAATATGGAACAAGCATTAATATGTCATCGCCATTGGTATTAGTCAATATCAGTGTCGAAAAAACAGCGATTTGAACATCAGCTTGCATTTAGTCAATACTTATTTTATCAATTATAAAATTCTTGGGCCGAAATACATATAAAGCACTTAACAGTACGATTAAGGTACTTACATAGACGTAAATTATACAAAAATAGTCAATGTATTGCAAAATCTCACTGTAATATGAAGTTTGCACTGTTGCATGGCAGTGTACGAACAGGACAGCACTCGGGTGGTGATCACTTGTAAACTCGCACCAGTAAGGGTACGAAGCTGTCTACACGCAGAATAACTGGGAGGAAATCAGTCTTATATGTATGGAAAATAACACGGAATCTTAACTTTGATGGAGAGTATAAATCCCTGAAGATAGCAGCAGCTACAACTACGTTGATTCTGAGGGGTAACAGCTCATGGATATGTATTCCAAGAATCCCTCATGTTATCGACAATTATCTGACGTCTTTTGACAGTATATCGACTCTGTCGTTTCTATAAAACATCAACGTCTTCTTTTCGACAAAACATCGACGTCGCATGTCAACAAAACACTGACGTCTTCTTTTCAACAAAACATCGATGTCCGCTTTTCAACAAAACATCGAAGTCGTCTTTTCGACATAACATCGACGTCTTCTTTTCAACAACACATCGAAGTCCTCTTTTCGACAAAACATCGAAGTCCTCTTTTCGACTATCATTTCCAAACGGGTCCAGTTTCTACCTCTGAAGTCATGGCGTCATCCTGCAACTCTCGCCAAACGTATTACCTCCTCTTCAGTGTCCTTCTTCCTCAAGCACCCCAGGTTCCTCCAGAAGGCCTTGAGGTTCTCAATGGTCTCCTCCTGCATGAGGTTGAAGCACATAGCGACGAGGGCGCTCCCCACCAGCAGGTATACGGTACAGATGATCTGTTGGGACTCCACCTCCTCGTCGTTCTGACCGGCTACCGTCCTTCCCGGCACCTGAGAAAAGCAAAAGAAGGACTTCACGTATCTGAAATCATTCATCAGGCTTCTATTATTCACTTTTAGGTTTGAATGATATATTTTATCTATTCAGTACCCACTGATACCCACCATTTTCGAACGTGACTGCCTGTCAGAGAAGCAGGAATAGTATATCTATGCAACCCAGCTAGACTAATTATACTATGATCAAATCTTATTTTGCAATAAACTATATGTAATGTTTGTCGACTTTCTTCTAATGTATATTCTTTAAAACATCAACTATTGCCTATTTTTACCCTATATCTTTTCCTGATTAACACTCAGGCTACTGATGCTACTCCCATTGAATAGTTCAATATATCTGAGTTTAAACTGTTTCCCCGCCCCAGCTCTCCGTGCACCGTCACAGCAGGCAACACATGTTCCAGACAGGTTATATCAACGTTGATTCTGTCACATCAACGTCTAGCTTTGCCCCGAGGTTGGTGAGGACCTGTGTCTATTGCCACGCCAATAGACACAGGTCCTCACTCTCCCCTCAAGTCGTAAGTCGTCTAGATTTCATGCTCTTAAGAGGCTGCTCAAGAACTGTGATTTTCACGATAACTTTGTTCTCCAGTCTTAAAAGTCCGAATGATATTTGGTCTTTGGCCTGTTCTAAAAATAAGGGAACTATTGACACAAACACACAAGCAGGAGAGTAGAACACGAGAGGAGTTGACCAATCCACACACTAGAAAATGAAGGGACGACGACGTTTCGGTCCGTCCTGGACCATTCTCAAGTCACTTGAGTCAATCGACTTGAGAATGGTCCAGGACGGACCGAAACGTCGTCGTCCCTCCATTTTCTAGTGTGTGGATTGGTTAACATACTTCAGCCACGTTATTGTGACACATCGCCTGCAACACAAGAGCTAATTCTCTCTCTCTCTCTCTCTCTCTCTCTCTCTCTCTCTCTCTCTCTCTCTCTCTCTCTCTCTCTCTCTCTCTCTCTCTCTCTCTCTCTCTAACCAGGTCGCCGAAGCCAATGGTGCTGAGGGAGATGTAGGAGAAGTAGCAGGCATCGAGCAGCGTCCAGCGCTCCCACTGCGAGAAGATCAGCCCGCCACACAACACGTAAACACCGATCACCAGCAGGCAGTAGGTAATAGGAATGGTGCGACGGCCTGCTTTCCATCCCTTCTTCACTCCCTGCTGCCAGTCCTCGGGCTCCTGCTGCTGCTCCTGCTGCTGCTCCTCCAGCTGGTGGTCCGCCTGCTGTTGCTGCCGTGGTTTCTGCAGGAAAAGTAATATGGTACTATGATGTTGGTTTTGGTAAAATGTCGAAAGTGATAAAATGTGATAAATTAGTTGTCTATCTGACTGACACACACACACACACACAACCACACACACACGCACACACACACATTTTCTTTATATGACAAAGAGTGCTGGGAAGACGGGACACCACGAGCGTAGCTCTCATCCTGTAACTACACTTAGGTAATTACACACTCACACACTCACACACACACACACACACACACACTCACACACACACACACGCACGCAGACACACACACACACACACACACACACACACACACACACACACACACACACACACACACAGCCAATACACTCATGTAATCACCCAACATATCACATGAAAATAATCTTAACTAAATACACATAATATGATGCCATTAACATGGGCCAGAATTGACAGAACGTGACAGATTACAACATCTGTACCTCTTATCTCCACAACACCGCAATAGTCGGTATTTACCAAACAACTTACGAGCTCCGAAACGCTACGAGGTCGTCCATAACAACTCAACTTTGAGCTGAGGATCACATCGTAGCGCTTCAGAGCTCGTAAACTTTATGAATACCGTCTAAGCCGCCATGATGGAGATAAGAGGAACAGATCAGGTAAGTGAATGCGCAAGTGCTTTGTGAATACCGAGACAGGAGGCCAGATTCACGAAGCAGTGACGCAAGTACTTACGAACCTGTCCATCTTTCATCAAACTTTAACGGCTTTGGTTACATTTATTAAACAGTTTACAAGCATGAAACTTCCCAATCAACTGTTGCTATTGTTATAAACAGCCTCCTGGTGCTTCGGTGCTCATTAACTATTTAATAATTGTAAACAAAGCCGCCAAAGATTTGAGAACAGCTGTACAGGTTCGTAAGTGCTTGCGTAACTGCTTCGTGAATCTGGCCCCAGAGGTGTAAGGGGGGCGGGGAATTCGAAGAGTACCTTGACCTCGTGGGAGGGATTGGCACTCACCGGTCTCAGAGTGCCACTGCCAGAACGATAGTATCCCAACGACCCGACGTCGCACCTGGGTAATTAATACGATAATTATAAATCACAGGAAGAACAGGAAATCATTCTATAAATCAGACGATGTTCTAAATGGATGAATTTAGCCACATCACGTTTTCTTTGCGCCTCCACCCCTCTGTCGAGAAGCAACAGAAAACGTCAAGTGGTTTGTTTACCTGTCAGTTACATATCATCTTTTATTATGTCAGAGTATACGTATTATACTTCATAATATACTCACTAACATACGTATTATACTTCCAGGATATACTCACTAGCATACATATACTTCCATGATATACTCACTAACATATGTATTACTTTCAGGATATACTCACTAACATATGCATTATTTTCATGATATACTCACTAACATATGTGTTACTTCCATGCTATACTCACTAGCATATGTATTAATTCCAGGATATACTCACTAACATATGTATTATACTTCCATGATATACTCACTAACATATGTATTATACTTCCATGATATACTCACTAATGTACAAATTATACTTAGAAGATATACTAACATACGTATTATTAATTAATTCACTATGTCGGGGGGACAGGTAGCCAGTGTATATATATATACACGTTAGGCTTACATCTAGGTCACCCCAAGATGGAACTACTGACCCCCCCCCCCGCACAACAATTGCCTAACTTCCAGGGTAAATGGTGTTAGGTGAACAGATGTATTAGGTGATAAAAAACGTGCCCAATAGGTGATATAGGTATTACTGGCGTTTTCTATGCATCGGACTCTATATAGGTAAAATGAGTTGCTAGGGTTTCCCATACATTTCTGGGTTGGCGAAACAGATGCATCTTCTAGGCAGTGGCAAATAAAAGAGTCTCATAACCCCTAGAGTATAGAAGAAACACAGGGGGGATATGCTCCCAACATACGAGATACTGAACGGAAGACACGAGGTGGACAAGGATATCCTCTTTATAATGAAAGTACGTCGACATAGCACGGGCTATGGTGAGCCCGTAAAAAAAAAAAAGGCTAGTGGCTGGGGCATGAAGCGCTAGACCTCACTAGATAGGTATATACAGATAGGAAAGTACGCTTAGATCTCTACAAATAGATACATTTATAGACATACACACGCACGCTGACACTACAAAGACCGCATAAGCAGTATGACAGATGGAATGACAGTTAAACAGGCATACAGACAGGGGCTTAGCATGTGGGCCGCCGTAGCTGGGTGACAGGTGGTTATAATGATATATGGGTGTTGCACCTCTTACTCTTTGGCGCCAAGCCCTTCCCCCGCCCGCCGCCATGGCGGGTATTGATGATATCTGCTGATGTCTGACGCAGGACGCCCAGGGCGGGTGGCCGTGTGTGTGTGTGTGTGTGTGTGTGTGTGTGTGTGTGTGTGTGTGTGTGTGTGTGTGTGTGTGTGTGTGTGTGTGTGTGTGTGTGTGTGTGAGTGAAGCCTCGCGAGGTCTCTATAGTCAAGTGATCGGCACACTTTGTAAGCCAGAGAACTTGGGATCGAACCCTGGGCAAGTAGAAGGAACAACTGGGCACCATTCCTTCTCTCCATTCACCCCCTTGTCCACCCGTCAGTAATTACCATCAAATATTATTTCTCGAAAGGCGGAGCTTGAGAGCTAAGGCTCGACCCTATAAATACAGAAATGTGAGTACACACTAATAAGCCTTTCAAGTAGCATTACAATGTACGCCAGACGCCCTCTTGACTATGCAGCCCCGGCATGGAACCCACAGCTGATCAAACAAAACATAAGGAAGAAAACATGCATCAAGACTGGTTCCGGAACCGAGAGTTTTGAGCTACGAGGCAAGACTGACGGAACTGAACCTCTCCACACTGGAGGGAAAAGAGCTAAGACATGATAACGACATACAAGATTATAAGGTTAATTGATCAAGTAAACAAATCCGGAGTCAGAAACGGGCGATTGATTGTACAAATTAACAATTAAATAACTAAAGAAACAAAGAACAACCAACAACGCTGCCGTTCTCTTCAAGTACACGATAAAAATACGCGAATTAAACCTGTTGGCGACGTCAACTGTTCTCACTTCTCTCAGTGCCTTCACCAGGGGGAGTAGGAGCTAGGTGAGGTAGTGAGAGAGAGATAGAGGAAGGGGTGAGAAGAGAATAGGTAGGAATAGGGCATATACAGACCATAGAACAAGCAAGCTGTTTACAATCAGCTGAAAAAAATCGTTAAATTTCGTCAAATATGACCTAATTGCCTCTCCCAACCCTAACACCCTTCCACCCCCCCCATCGCCCCCTTCCCTTCCCCCCCCCCCCCATCTCCCACTTCCCTTCCCCCCCCCCCTCTGTCGCTGTTGTTTAAAATTTGCTACTAGGAACACAAAGTTCCAAGTAGCACGGGCTATGGTGAACCCGTTGTGTACCGGTCTTCCCCCCCTCTCACCTGCAGGCCCTGAAGTAGAGGAACTTGAAGAGGTGAGCGAGGACCTCCCCAACATTGGACATGTACAGCAGCATTAGAGGCATCCCCACCAGGGCGTAGAAGATGGTGGCTATCTTCCCCCACTCTGTCCGCGGCGTCAGGTTCCCGTAGCCTGTAGGAGGAGGAGGAACGGGGGGGTTATGTAGACCTGGTCTGGTAGCCTGTAGTCATGGTCTCCTGGCCTGTAGGAGGGTGTAGCCATGGTCTGATACCCTGTAGGAGGGTGTAGCCATGGTCTGATACCCTGTAGGAGGGTGTAGCCATGGTCTGATACCCTGTAGGAGGGTGTAGTCATGGTCTCCTGGCCTGTAGGAGGGTGTAGCCATGGTCTCGTGGCCTGTAAAAGGGTATAGCCATGGTCTCGTAGCCTCTAGAAAGAAGGCCCGGGGGGGGGGGGGTTATACAGCTTCAATTTATCGAGTAGGAGGGAATAGCCTCGTACAAGATGGTGTACTAGCTAGGGGTCCACTCAGTCTCCAGTGGGGGAGAGTGGGGGAGTATGGGGGAGAGTGGGGGAGAGTGGGGGAGTCTGGGGGAGAGTGGGGGAGTCTGGGGGAGAGTGGGCAGAGCAGGAACAGCGTATATATACTCTAACAGGCGATTTAATGCGTCTTAAACCTCGAATGCATCATCAAGCAAAGCGTTATACTATGAGACAATCTTGTCATGCTGATGAGGACTTATTCCTTCCTTATTATGCTTGATGGCTACTATGCCGTAGCTATTAAAGGAGGGAGGGAGAGAGAGAGAGAGAGAGAGAGAGAGAGAGAGAGAGAGAGAGAGAGAGAGAGAGAGAGAGAGAGAGAGAGAGAGAGAGAGAGAGAGAGAGAGAGAGAGACAGAGACAGAGACAGAGACAGAGACAGAGACAGAGACAGAGAGAGAGAGAGAGAGAGAGAGAGAGAGAGAGAGAGAGAGAGAGAGAGAGACAGAGAGACAGAGAGACAGAGAGACAGAGACAGAGACAGAGACAGAGAGAGAGAGAGAGAGAGAGAAACAGAGAGAGAGACAGAGACAGAGACAGAGAGAGAGAGAGAGAGAGAGAGAGACACAGAGAGAGAGACAGAGACGAACACAGTCTACGACAGTTAAGCGACAGTCTACGACAGTGACAGTCTGCGACAAAGTGGGACGGGCTACCACTCACCTGTCCAATTACTCGCAAGCGTTAATGACGGTAATTTATAACCACAGGTGAGAGCAAGGTGTTCAGACACTCCCATGTCAGGCTTGTGTGGGGACTAGACCAGACTACCATACGTAGTGGTAGAGACGTAGACTACTGCGCCACGGGACCCATAAATACCCGCTATAACCCGCGTAAGAAGTATGGAGATCGCGTAAGTGGCCGCCTAAGAGATACAGATCGCATAAGTGGATACGAAAGTGCTTTGTGAATCCGCGCGAGGCGTTCAGAGCTGCCTGTCGCTGACGCAGGCAGTCCTCGACGCTAGCAGACGTGTATGTCTTGCCCTACAGGGGAAATGGGGGGGGCAAGGAAGCCAGGGGGTAAAGGCAGAGGGGCAGGGGAGAGGCAGGGAAGAATGAGGTAAGTTTCCAGCACAAGAATGTAGGGGAAATAAAGAGTATAGTAGAGTATTATAGAGAGGAGTGGCCGCGGTAAACATTGCGGGCGCTGGGTTAAAAATATTCTCCTGTGTATGGTAAGTGATTTACGGAGAGAGAGAGAGAGAGAGAGAGAGAGAGAGAGAGAGAGAGAGAGAGAGAGAGAGAGAGAGAGAGAGAGAGAGAGAGAGAGAGAGAGAGAGAGAGAGGTGTGTGTATTTACTATTTCTGTCTGCAGAATCGAGCCATTGGCTCTTGGACCCCGCCTTTCTAACCAATCTATTTTTCTTCTATTGTGTCTACTACATATATTTCTCTCTTAACACACCCACGCACATCCCCAGGAAGCAAGCCAAAGCAGCTGTCTAACTCCTAGGTACATATTTACTGTTTGGTGAACAGGGCATCAGGTGAAATAAATTCTGCCCATCTGTTTCTGCCTCGACTGGGAGTCGAACCAGGGCCCCTTAGGACTACGACCCCCGAGCGCTGTCCACTCAGCCGTGAGGCCCTGTGTGTGGGTGTGTGTGTGTGAGTGTGTGTGTGTGTGTGTGTGTGTGTGTGTGTGTGTGTGTGTGTGTGTGTGTGTGTGTGTGTGTGGGTGTGTAAACGCATAAAACACACACACACACACACACACACACACACACACACACACACACACACACACACACACACACACACACACATAAAAACAAACAAATAATCTAAGAGAGAAAATAAAACAACTCTCATTCCGCACGAGTAAAACCAAGAAATTTAGAATTTAAGCAAAATAAACAAGTGGACGGTTGGCTGTATATGTTTACCTCAGCTTTTATAAATATATAACGAACATATTTAACCACGAATGTAAATTGAAACCAGCAGATGGCAGCAGAGAAGTAGACACTTGCGAAGCATTATACATCAAACCAACCAACTATCAACAGTCAACTATCAACAGTCAACTATCAACAACCAACTATCAACAGCCAATTATCAACAGTCAACTAACACCAAATTACACTCTGCCATCTTGCAGAACTCGACGAAACATACAATATACCGCCATCATGGCAACACAGAACATGGGGTTGTAGTTTTAGATTTAGTGTCCATGTAGCACGGGCTATGGTGAGCCCATAAGAACATGGGGTTAGTTGTAATGGGCATATGGGCCCCTTAAGTGAGGTGCTTCACCTTCACCTCATTCTCGGCTGTATACCCGGCAGCAATAACTCCTCATAATTACGGGTTATTCATGCCCGTGCCACCGCATGGGTGGCTTAATCTTCATCGATCAATCCTTGTAACGAATTAAACTCTGCTTTTGATAAACTTAACGAAACGCATCTCTTTGCGTCCGGCTGAATAAAATTGTAAAAATAACATTGGAAAGTTATTTTTTTTTAACTTCCTTCTCAAGTTAAGAAAAACATAAAAATAGAGTATATTCGCCCTAGATACTGTGATCTGACACTTTCCTGCATATGCCTACGTGGTACTTCCCCTTTCGTCACTGGTAATTTCCCCACCAGGTACTGGTACTTTCTCATCACATTACAAGTACTTCCATTACCTGCAAGGGTAATTTTCTCATCCGATATTGATACTTTCGTCTCCTTATATAGACACTCCTCCCAACCTAGTACTTCCCCTTCTCAATGCTAGAACACTCTCACATAACCCCTAGATACCTATCCGTGCCAGAAAATCGTATCTGTCATCTCAAGCGAGGCATCTGTCATCTCAAGCGAGGCATCTGTCATCTCAAGCGAGGCATCATATACCAGCCATAACGCTAGTTACTGCCAAGAGTCATCAGGCATCTTACAAAACCCGTACATCTTTCCTTAATCATGGCGGATTTGTTTACTCCAGGCTAGGGCCACGCAGCCTAATGATAGCTCGTGGGCGGAAGAGTAACGGTGCCAATTTTAAATGACCAGAAGATTTTTAGCAAGCGCCTTGGGGAAATTTAATGCCAGGAGGGTAAAAAAATGGGACTCAATCCTTGGCCAGTGCCAAGGAGTACCGCCCAGCTGTGACTGGGGGAGACTCGCTCCACGAGCCCTGTGTTTTGATAAAGTGTTTCCTGAGATTGGTGGCTTGTTTGTATTGATGGGAGTACGTGCGTGGTTGTGGGGGGGGGGAGGTGTGTGTGGGTGTGGGTGTGGGTGTGGGTGTGTGTGTGTGTGTGTGTGTGTGTGTGTGTGTGTGTGTGTGTGTGTGTGTGTGTGTGTCCTCGTCTAGTTGTGCTTGCGGGGGCTGAGCTTCGGCTCTTTGGTTCCGCTTCTCAATTATCAATCAACTGGTGAGAGTGGGGGGGGGAAGGGTGGAGGGTTTCAGGGCCTGTGAGAAACCAAGTTGGTTGAGCTCCTTGGTTCTATCTCTCAATCTTCGATTGACTGGTGAATAGATGCAAAGCCTATCAAGCTCTGTCATACCCACATTTGACGCAGGCAATAAAAGGCTCCTATTAATCCAAAATGACATCCACAAACTCATTCACCAATCACTAACGATACCTATAACAAACCACTAAGATTTCCACACTAACATGAATCTCCCATACCACAAACAGTAGTTACTCAAAAAATTACCCCCAACAAATTCCACGAAACGTTAAGCAAGCTTCTAGTCGAGCAAGTAAGGAACAAAATTGGATTCAAGACAGCGTCACTTGGACGCAAATATAAGACGTCGGGGCGCGCAACGTCTTAACTACACCAGAGGTTCAGTGACAAACACTCAGACCATCTCCAACGCAAAAAACAAAAACAGTCCTTGCTCGTCTGATCGCCACGCTGTCAGGCCACTCAGTACCTCACGTCATCACCACACCACTCTAAACTACATTTGTACAAATATATACATTTAATTACTGTGTTTATCGTCACTAAAACGAACGTAGCGATAAAGCGTTTACACATTCAATTGGTTCAGCACTCCAGACACTTGACTCTTTATCTCTATGGCACATTAGGCTACAGGTTTTAGTCCTTGTCATGTTAGCCCACTATGCTAATAGAGGCTATGCCAACCCCTAGATTATTTTCTTTTTATATTCAACGGGTCTTCTTCCATCCTCCTCAATCCTCATTACCTTGGCTCCTTGTCTTGCTGTCAGCTCGAGTAAGGACGCGTTGCCAACCGTCTATCTTACACAATGGAGGATTTGTAGGCCACAGGTGGGAGAAACACAAGCCAACGCGCTCACACACTTGACTTTGGCAGTTATTAACCTACATCTGAAAGTCACTTATTGTAACTTTAATGAAGGCTTACCAGAAATGCTGTTAAGACATGACCACCCCTTTGTAGTTTACTCTGTTATCCGCTTACAGGAGAGTAAAGCACGAAATTTTATGGCTCTGGCATATTTTTACCTGCCTGTATACATGTATTCCTGTTTGTATATATATACATGCTTGTATGTATACGTGTTTATGTGTATGGCTATCACTACTAAGAGACACTTTCACATCCGTCTGCACATGGTATACTAGTAGTTCACTTAATATCCTTCTCTATATTCCCAAAATTAACGCCCCTACGTTACACA